CTTTTTACTTAAAGGTTAAAAGAAGCAGTAAAACTGAACCTTCCCTGGATGAAAAAGACAAAATAGAGGAAACCGAAAATTCCGGATCTGGTAAAGTTACAGGAATAATGTGTAAATTTTGTTCCAGTGCTTAAATGGTTCTAAATTCAGTTTTAATATTTATGTAATTTTTCAAAATTTTTAGGCTGTTGATGTACTTGATTTGTTACGAAACAAAGGTTTACAAACTAAATTGGTAGAATTGCAACTTGGTGGTCTGATGACAGAACGTTCTAAGATTGTATTTTTAAAACGACAGCGGGCTCCATTCAGCGAATTTATTGATCATGTTTCGTACACTGAATTATTTATTTATCTTTTCTTTGCAAAAAATATGTTCTCTGAATAATGTAAAGGATGTCATAATGACTATTATAATGTATATATGTATTATTATGTGTATGTGTGAAAATTGCAAAGTTTGATGATTTTGATGTCAGCACCATAAGTAACAAAAACACTTTTTTATCATTAATAATAAAGATGCAAGAAGGGTTTCAGTCAAAGCACATACAAATATGTACAAATATCAATAAAAAAAGATAGTATTTACCAAAGCAAATACGAATGTGGAAATAAAATGTTGGTCATTAAAAAAAGTTGAATGCGGTTCTAGAATAATAGAATCGCAAACATATTTTAAAATAAATTTAGGTAATGCAGTTTTAACAACTTACTATACACGACGATTCAAGAAGGTTGCACTATACCGCGTATGCGATAGTGTGATAGACGATGATAGAAAATATTAATAGAAGTGCAGATACAATTTTTTTTTAAACCACAAATACACATTTTATTTTTTTTACCACGAAATAGCAACAAATTTTTGATGTACTGTTGCCGACTTTAAGTTTTTTTCCATGTTTTATTTATTATATTTAAAATATGTTGCATGATTTCCATGCGTGTCCGTACTTTCAATAATAAAGTCAGTACACTTCGACGCCACAGTAATTACTCACCCTGTAGGTACATGTAAATGTTATGTTTTTAAGGCAAATTAAATATAACTGAACAATTGATTATTAAAATTACTGAGTATTATTTTATATTTAATATTTATGTTCACCATCACCTGAAATTTTTGTTCACATCCTCATTTGTTTTACATTTTAATAACAATAAAGATCAAATTGACCTCTTTTGTTTCTCAAACAACATCAGAATCGGTTTTTTAAAGTAGTACTATAAAGTAGTACTATTAAAAAATAATGAATATTGAATTGACGCGTAGTAATTACCACATTAAATGCTATTGCTTTGTAGTCTTTGCTACAATTTTTTTGAAGAGCATCAAAAATGTGAAGTGATTGAAACAGTTTATTTCTGCCAGTTTTATTCTTAAAGTAGTCAACGCATAATAAATAAAGTCATGAGATACAATTAAAATTATGTATTTACAACTTAAATTTAAGGAATAAAAACGTACTAAATTTTTTGATACTAAAGACTGGGTTTAATCTGACATAAAGTATCCTTGCACAATTAAATAAATATACCGTGAGTGAGTGGCAAAAGAATACGTATCCAAGATTCATATCTATTTAGTGGGATATTTATTCATTATTAAATTAAAATTAACTCTTGGACAGGTTAATTTTGATTTTTAACTATTGTTGTTTTTTTATATATAGGTGCGCCACAACTTGCGCCCCAGAAAAAATGTTAAGATAAGATACCAGGAACATAAAAAAAATATTAAAAAAAATCTTTCTTAAAAAAATTTCGAGGTTATGAGTGTTTAAATTTTGCACTTTGACTCTATTTATTACTGTTGGAAAAATAATTCTCCAAGTTTTTGTGCTAAAGGCTATTAGAAGAGGAAACAAGGAACCTGTATCCTAAATTGTAACTCTGTTTAATGTTATTTGTGGCTTTTATTGGCAAAATTTTTGTGAGCTTTATTAAATAGTTATAGAAAAACATATACAAGATCATCAGTATCATTATATAGACATAAAAAAATGTCAAATGTCAAAAAACAAATTTTGACAGATAGAATTTTTTAAACATATTTTCCATGTTCCTGGTATCTTATCTTACTTAAATTTTTTTCTGGGGCGCGAGATCTGACACCCTGTATATGGATAAGCGCGGTGGTTTCATATCTATACTAAATGTAAAAATTTATGAGAATTGTTTTCACGCACCAAAAAATTTAAAATTACAATTTTTTTACTAGAAGGCACTACTCCTTTACTGTCATTCCAACTCACTTAATAATTATTATGATTATTACTTTATAGAATATATTAATAAAACATTTTTTCCGCACACAAAACAAAAAATGGATAGACCAGACACTGCAATTTTCTTTAAATTTTTCTACAGAAAACAGGGGCGTTTTGAAAGGTTATATTGTTGTTAAAAATTAATATTATATATACTTTATATTAAGTATAGTTTAGCTTAGTTAACGAAGCCAGTGTAACAACCAAAACCAATATATCTGATACACCCAAAATGATAATTTATTTTGGACCAAGTGTACGTTCAATTTATTATTGATCTTATAAAAACTGGTGAGTACGCTTTACTTTTAAGATCTTGTAGCCTGATAGAGGATCATTAAAGAATATATTACATGCTAGGAGCAATACATTACTGTTCTCTTACTCGCTTCGAGTGAACTGCTTCACATTAAACCAAGGTAACTTTCATAGTTAATACTAAATTAAGATTTCTAATCAGTTTGCAGAATTTTGTAGTATCCCTATTCTACACTTTGTTGTTGTTTTTTATAACAGGAAAAAAAAATTAGCAGCTATATCGTTTTTTGAAGTATTGAAATTTCCATTAACGATAATACTCAGAAAAAAATAAATTTACTATTTATTTATTAAACTATTTTAAACAGGAAAAATAAAATTTTACTACTCCAAAATTCAATAAACTTTGTCCTACTTTAGCACTGACTAATGAGTTAATGACACGTGCAGAAGATAAATTACAAACTAATTACGTAAACGAATTAAAAAATCTGACAAAATAAATTTTTGGAAAAGATAAAAAATATTTTGACAGTGCAAAACAAAAAATTAAATTTGATTCGATCAACACGCAAATGAATATACTCGATATGAGCTTGACGATTTCATTTATTTAAAGAAGGTAAATGCCTAGATGATAAAAAAACTGGATTTAGTAAGTTCAGACAAAATAAATCGACAATAATTAATTTTGGTAGATTAAAATCAAATCAGAAATCTAACATTGATAATCCCCTTCCAGGTTGTTCCTCGGAACAAGATTGGAACTGACCCCATCGAACACCCCATCAGGCCTCTTCTTTCAAAGAGAAGGTATTAAACAAATTTCAAATGATAACTTAACTTTTTGTCCATAAAACCATAATCGTAAAAAAAGAAATTAAAATGTCAGTCTATTTGCAACTAAACTTGTTTAAGTCTTGTGGTCACAAATGGATAAAAAAGCTATAGAAATAAAATTAACTCCAACCATTACTATTAGATTAAAAAAGAAAAAAAAACATTAATGAACTCGGGGCGGTCTGAAAATAATTAGGTAGTTTAGACACCTAACCCGGGCAATATTATGACGAATGTGTTGATAAAAACTAATTAAAAGTTAAAAATCTTAATGAAAAGGTTTCTGAAATAAAGCATGCTTTAAAAATTATTTCATAAAGACTCCATCAATCGGTTTCCCAAAAATCTCTGTTTTCATGACATACTAATGGACAAAAACACCTCTTTTAATCCAAATTATAATAATCTGTCTTAACTCATTTTACACAATTGTTCTCGTCCTGCATCATACTTACTCAGCAATCACCAAAAATCTTAAATCCAACGTTTATTATGCAATTCACAAACACGATGCTGTGTCTAGAGAAAGTAAACAATACATTATGCTAGATCCTAGATAGAGACGATTGCACAGAGGATAATCAGATGAAATTATACTACGGTTATTTCCCGAAAATTTTATTACCTAGTTCACTGTGTAAAATTACACTCTTAGGATTATTTTTCTTTCTATGTATTGTTTACTGACTTACTGCCTTATTATACTTTGCTTTTTATTACATTAACAGAAACTATTTTTTTAATTAGAGAGAAAAATATATTTAATCAAATAACCGGTGGTATATGTTTTTTACATAAAAACCTCCCTAATTAAAAGCGCCTTTCTCTAAGATTTTTTAAAAGTATTCACAACATCTGATACGACCTGCTACTAGTAGTTCAGATCTTTTGACAGAGAAATTCGAATATGGATTTTGATTTGTATGACAATTGTTTGCACGAAGTTATAATTTTTATAATACACTATAACTACAGAAAAATAGGTTTATAACTAGCACAAGACTTCCATTCGTAGGGAATAACAGGTTTTATGAACAGCTTTTTATGAAAGAAGTTGAATCATCGTCAAATTGGCGTGAGTTTTTGTTTGGTAGTCTCCTAATTAGTAATTATTTGTGGTACTTAATTCTCAATAGTACCTATTGAATGAAAGAAAGGATCTGTTACAGCACTCACAGTGCATTATTTTGGTGGTGATTCTAATAATCTTGAGGAGTTAAGTGTTATATTACTTATATTTTACTTTTTTTCATTTTTAATTTTACAGTTCCGATCGGAATGTGACGTAATTCGATATCTCAGAAAATCTATTCTGTGCTTCCACTGTTTTATGAATGGTGAAACTCATTCACACAATTTCTGATGTTTCTAGAGGTCCTGCAGCGTCATGTTGCGGGACCTGTACATATTTCCATTCACAATGTTTACGTTATCCTTTTTCTGCAAAACTAAGTAATATTATTATTATTGCCCTCTTTCTTGTCTTTTTGTAAATGATTTTTCTTAAACTATTGAGTAAATTGCCCTATTTCTCTTCGCCAATTCTATCATTTTAGTTCTTTTTTTGATCTTATAACAAAACAAAATGTAACTCCAGTATTGTTTAAAAAATGTAATATTGAAACCTAGAAATTCTTTTTGTTTCAGGCATTAAACGGCTTTCTGATGATGATGACTCAAAATGGTAAGCTGTTGTATATATCGGACAATGCTGCGGAGTACCTGGGACATTCCATGGTGAGTGTTTTACAGGTGAGCGAACTTTTTGAGCTTTAAGGCTAAGAATGAGCTTGAAAACTAACACAAAAACTACGTAATTAAATCGAATCGCTCATGCAAAGGAATATCTAAATAATAGGTCATTTGTTAAAAAAGTGTGAATGTATGCCCACTGCAGAAAACTAAAGAAGCTTTGACGCTTGTTCAGGATTTAGGAGTTAAGTAAAGCAAGTCGAATGACTAACTAACGTCAGTGACGCAGCAATTTTTAAGACTTATTAATAATTATGTTAGCCACTCCGTAGACGGCCATTGCTTTTATGTGTAACATTAACGTTACACTAATGTAATGATGAAGCGAAAAACATATAAATATTTGTATCAACTCAAAACGTCAAGTACTTTTTCTGTGACTAATTAACAAAAATACTATCTTTGTTTTAGGAGGACCTCCTAATCCATGGAGATAGTGTATACGATATTATAGATAAGCAAGATCACCAAGCAATCCAATGTGAATTGGGACGGCCAGTAAATTCAGGATCAAATACTAACACTAGTGAAGAAATTCGTTTATTTTTATGTAGAATGAATGTTTCTAGAAATGCAAGAAGACAAATGAGGTTCGGGGACCAAAAGGTAGTTTTTTAATTAAAAGCATATGTTTATAAAAAGTTACGATACTTGCATTTAATGCCAAGCTCGGGCATTAAACATGCCCTTTTCGATTACGCCCTTGCTTCATAAAAGACGTATTTTTGCAACTATAAACGAGAATACTATTACGCGCTTGCTTACACAAATAAACTCGACTGTTGTGGTTGGCTGATCGCTAACTAAGTTCACATTCTAAAAGACTACATATTTCTGATTGGTAAGTTTTTTATCTGTTAGCCCGCGTTTGTTTGTTTGTTGTTTTTTTTTATTTTCATTGGAAAAATTAAAAAAAAGTTGATCAACACTTTAACACCCCTGTATTTAGTTTTCAAAATAATTTTATTAAAAAGCAGAAACTCGCTGCTATGGCAGAATCCGCCGTAAGTTGTTGACGGGAACAACTTTGATGACGAGCTGTGAGCGATGATAAAATGCTTTATTAATATTTGTCGCATCACTATGAATGTATGACAATCTAGTCAAGATATAATCTATTTATGTATTGACAAATTCATTGTAAACATAAATTTGGCTTTGATCGCTTTCAAGTGGGAAAATTATATAAAAAAGATGGAAATTGTTTGCATTGCTAAATGTACCAAATGCCGGATCTGCCTTTCACTATGCAGTAACCTCAACCAGGTCGACTCCCCCTTCCCGACCTCTAGCAGCAACAGCGATTCCACCCACACCTACGAGTAGAATACCTAGCTAGCTGCCTTAGATACCAAAGGAATCGGTCAAATATAAGCGGTTCAGGTAAATACAAATTTAAACAGCATTTGTATCAGTTTTGATTGGAGATTTAAAGCACAGGATTTTTTTGCTGAAATTCAAAAACGCCACATTTAATCCTCTTCTATAAATTTTAAAATAGGACACGTTGTTGAACATCCAGAGTACTTATAATTTTTATTAGATTCGCTAAAATGTAGGAATGTGGAAAGTGGTTTCAAACAAACAACAAAATGAAAAATAACAAGAAAGGAATAAAGGGACAGGTGGCAACGTTTTACGAAATGGGAATAAAAAAAAACTTATGCCATAGCTCTTATGCCGTAGCTCTTATAGAAATATCGAGTAGCCGTACAACCTTTTCAAACAAAAATCCTAATAATAATAAATTTTCTATAATACATAAATTGGTCAACAAATGACGCTACAAAGGGTGATGCGGGAACATATATTTTTCTTCATTAAATTAGAGTTAATGTAATTTACTTTAGCAAAAAGAATCTACAAACCGATGGTCTAAATTTCCTGAGAAAGTTTATTTTTCATTCACTGTAAAAACAGTTTCAGTTATGTATTTATTATAAAAGTGTATTTCGCTTTAGAAGAAATTAAAGAAACAATAGCTTTAAAATTTATAATGCAGAGTTGGCACGTGGCACTTTACAAGCGGTTTTAAGGCTCCATAAAATGCTTTTAGACGCTTTAAAATGGCAATAAAACTCTACAATACATATAAAGAATGCTTTACAACCCACCTTTTCTTTTATTTGTTACTACTTTTTTACTTACTTATTTACTTTATTATTAACCTGTTAAACATAACGCAGACTAGTAGTTTTGCTTTATTATTTAGGGCAATAATTATTTACGGAATTTGTATCGATTAAAATAATTTTAAAAAATATAATAAATACGACAGAATAAAAAATAAGGTGTTAGGTAGGTACATTTAAAAAACACAAAGTTAATTAGAAAAGATTAATAAAATATAGATCCAACGAACGAACAAACAACGAACAAAGCCTTCTTTACTAATGTACCAAAGTTTACTTTTTTATTAAATTAATATGTTAAAAGAATAAAGAAGAAAAAGTAGACTAATAATACCTACTACATACGTCTTTTATGGTCTCTGCTGAGAGAAGTCTAACCGAAGACTAACTACTGAACTGTATCCCAGAATCAATAACAAAAAAATATCAAAATCCATTGTAATCGGTAACAAAATTAATATACCAAAAATAAGGATAATACATAAATGCGTAGAAATGATAAGAATAAAATTAAAAAAAATATATGATGGTAATTGGTAAAAATCATTTGTCATCATTTAATTAATTATAAAGCAAAAATTGTCAAAGATAAAGTCGGTTGGTTGGTAAAACATAGGTGTTTTAATGTAAAGCAGATAAGCAGAAAGAAGTTTAGTTGACGACGAAGATGAAGAGTATGATATGAATGTTTTTTCTACATCTAAATATTTTGTTAAAGTAGAATGGAGTCGAAGTGGAATAAAAAGAAGACATGATCTCGATAAATATTTTCAACTTTTAACTAACCTAGTTCTACCTATAAATTAGAACATACCTATGTATAATAATACATACATAGGTATGTTCTAATTTATTTATTCCAACAGCTATTTATTTATAATAGTTGCTATCTATCTTATATTATATTATCTAAATAGAAATAGTACAATATTAAACCGAATATTAAACGGCATTTTATAAATAGCAAAACTGCCTTTCTGCTAATTTGGAATAATGAATTATGAAACATCTATTTCTAAATAATTTTAGTCAGTGAAAATTTGACAACTATATAATAAAGAAAAAAAGTATATAAGTACAGTAGGATTGAGTTTACAAGAGGAAAAAAAAATTATCTTTGATTTTATACCAAAATTGCAAAGGAAAAACATTTTTTGCTTTACCTGAAACGAGCAAATCTATAATTTAAACATCATTATTTTAACTTTGTAGAAAGAAAAGTTCCTTTTTCTCTTGATTTTGGACTTATAGTTGATAGTGACATATAATTGTCAAATACATAAAACCGCCAATGTGATAGGACTTAAAATCAGAGAAAAATTATTCTAAGTCGAAAATCAAGAGAAAAATTAACTCTTATTTTCACTGAATCAGAATAATGAAGTTTTAAGTAGATTTGCTCGTTTAAGGTGAAGTAAAAAATGTTTTCCTTTGCAGTTTTGGCGTAAAATCAAAGATAAAAAAAATTTTCCTCTCGGAAACCCAATCCAGGGACTTACGGTATATTTGTAGTTTTAATGATAGGCAGTTTCCTCCGATGCCGCACTAAATGGCTCACCCTGTATACACATTCTCAAAAGCATTAATGCAGTTACGATTATTGTGTTACATTTTCCTGACGAGAAAATAACAAAGCCAGAGCTTTTTATTCGCTTAACTGTTTCAATAAAAAATAATGTAATTTCATCTATTAAAAACGTGCGACTTCTAAAATTCAAAAATTGTATGTTGAAGTTAAATAAAACGTACTTAGTTTTTACTTTTTTTTTTTTGATTAAATAAAGTACTATAAGTAAACTTCTTTAAATGGCATTTAAACAAATATGCAACATTTTATATCACCTAGACCAAGGTCAAAATAGGCGTAAACAAGTGAGTAAGAAAGTGCACTGCTGTCTGTATGTTGTATTGCGACGCCTACTCATCTAGAAGGAGCTCCCGGAACATTGCATGTTCTTGTGTAACGAGTTAGAATGGAAATGAACCTAATCAGCATGCAAAAGCATAAAGCGCCACTACTTATACATATTGTCGCAGGTAGTGCTGGTGCAGGGTCGATACTTGTCGTTTTTGCCATTATGCAGTCGAAACGAACCAGTCTTCCTGGCCACCTGTACGCCAGTGGCAATGCCAGAAACTAGAGAGTGTGTCGTGCAGGGCGCCACCAACGTCTTCACTTCAGTACACTCGATGGATATGCGATTCATCCATATAGATAACAAGTAAGTATCAGCAAAACAAAAAAAGGTTTCCAAAAGGTATACCTACTAAAGGAATAGTCGTACACAGAAATTTCTAGCTGCCAGTTTCCAGTAAAGGGTCCGAAAGAAATGTGAACTCTACTAAGAAAACTTCTGAACGGTTGACTGCTAGAATGTTGGTAGTAAACTCATCATATCGGGTGCGGAGAAAACATTGAACCATAAGTTTCTGATATTATTATTAAAAAAAAAAACAGCTTGTGATTAGGAACTGAATCCGTTTTAATAAAAGATTTTTCAAAATTTCGTTTTGTTCTGTACCGTTAGATTTTTTTATTTATGTGCCAACACTTTGATTCAAAGAAAGCAAGGATGCTTAGTTGCTTTCGAAAAAAGTAATTTTTTATTATCGGTCACGTTTTTGTGGTAGAATCCTTCGACGCCGCACTGAGGGCTCGCTGCTCGCTTAGTATTTTTTCCAGTTTTTTGTTTACTGAAAGTTGTATTTGAGTTTTTTTTGAAAACTAGCTAAAATCAAAAATTTGGCATTGATTAAGGTCCACATTTAATATTCGTGCCCGTGGCATTTATGAGATTTCTTTAGGGGCTTTGTTCACTCGTGCGATAAATCAACGGTTGCTCGTGATGCCGGGGCCGTCCAGGTCATCGGGTCGCGGGAGAGCCGGTGACATCGAATACCATAAATCACGACGAATGTTACACTTGTGTTGCAGCGGCGAATTCTACTTGGGTTTTCCGCGCGCCGATCTGCAGGGGGTGTCCTGGTACCGGCTGCTGCATTGGGAATGCACGCGTGAGGCCCAGACAAAACACCGGCTGAGTAAGTCACTATCAACAAAAATAACTCTCAGCTGACCTTTTGAATATTTTCCAGTCACCCAATCGGAACAGGAGCGTTCGTGTATTCTGCTGGCGCAGTTTCAGCGTCGCTCTGGCGATTGGATCTGGATGCATTGCGTCCTACAAGTCAAAGAAAGCTCCGAAAGCAGTCAACAGCCTGTCATCGTTTGCACCAACCAAGTACTCAGTGAGGCTGAAGCGGCTGTTATGCGAACTAACAACTGGCTGTATCATTATTATTCAGTACAAAATAAACTACAGTATGGGCTTGCCTACGACATTGGACCTCCATCAAGACTCCTGTACTATCCAGAGAATCCACCAGGACAAGAATTCTCCAGCAGTCACGAGGCCGGAGGATATCCCAATTTAACTGCAATGCCAGCATCGATACAAACACACCTCACGCACCGCTCAACTCACACACACCCTCATCATAGTCAACACCACCACCAACATCGACGTGTAGATTCCGAACCAGTAGATTATTCATATAGTAAGAGAAAACCCAAAGAACTTCAAAATCTCGAATTAACCAGAGACGCGGAATCTTCTGATGTTGAAGGTGGCAGTACGGGACTCCTTATAATTTCTCATATAACGGAACGGCCGAGAACTCTTCTTAAAGTAGATCCAAGTGAACTCATGGATCAGTGGAATCCAAGTCCGCCATGGTCTGACACCTTACAAAAAGTTCCTGATTTATGTCATCAAGAGTTAAGTCCATACGTGGGAAGTGCACCGCCAACTCCAACAGCAACTCCCAGTACCCAGACTGGCAGTGCTTTTTCGTTTGATTGGATGCCGGAACAATATGTTCCATCCATAACAACTGTGCCTTCTACAGACGATGCCGAAAGACAAATATATTGGCCTTCTGAACACAGATTATTCCCTTTACAGCCTCCTCCAAAAAGGAATCACCCCCCTTCACGGCGTTCTGAATCAGCTGACCGTGATACTCCTTAGTATTAGCGAACGATATAGGCCCAGTGCAATACTACCGAATTTAGCTTATTTATTTTTATTCTTTAGAAATGGTAACGCACTATATTGTTATTGTTCCTATTCCACAAATATTCCAGCGGAAACCTTAGTAAGTATACAACCAAAGTTACTGGCGTTATTAACTTTTTCATTGCTGTTGAAAGTAATACAAGTTTAGTCGCTAGTCACTTTACAAAATAAGTATTTACTCGTAGAACGTCTCAATTTATACATTTTACAACAAATTTAATAAAGCAAACATTAGAACAATCAAATACTGTCAAAACCGTGACAACAACAACTTTTTACCAATGATTCCTATGACGTGTTCATCCAAAATGGCCATTGCAAATAGTTTAAGCAAATTTAATATTTCTCCCATGGGACACACGGTAGTGTCATTCTACAAATGAAAAATTATAACAATCCCCAATTTTCAAAGTTCTGAAAAGCGGCGCGTCGTTTCAGTGCTACACCGTGCCTCTGTATGGTGTAGGATAATGACAAAAAATATTTGGAATAGTCGCATGAAAATGAAAAAGCAAAGTTTTGCACAATTTTATTTTTTTCTAGGGCTTGTTTGATTTCAAAATCATGTTAATTTGACTCTGAATTTATTTTATGATAAAATAAATTATTAAAAATGAAAGTTTTGGTAGGTATAAATCGAAAGGTGAACCTCAACCCAAATTTTGTATAACAGATTCCTTTTTTTTGCTTTGATTTCCTCTTATTTCTTTGATTTTGTCATGATTACCCCATATTTCCCTCTGGTTTGCTCATAATTTCTCCTAATTTTCTCAAGATTTTTCCTGATTTTCCAACAAATGAACAAAAAAATGTACTTGCGTATGATTAATAATTTCCCCCGATTTTAACTAAAATTTTTAATTTTAAATTCTTTTAGTTTTCCTAATTTTGTACACCAATTTCCTCTATGGATTACTCCTCGGGGAGAACCGCAACCCAAATTTTGTACACCAGATTTCCTTTTTTGCTTTGATTTCCTCTTATTTCTTTGATTTTGACATGATTTCCCCAAGAATTCTTCTGATTTTCCCATAATTTCTCCTAATTTAACAACAAATGAACAAAAAATCTACCTGCGTATGTGCATTTTTCAATGATTTCCCCTGATTTCCTCATAATTTCTTTTAGTTTTCCCAATTTTGTACACCAGATTTCCTTTTTTGCTTTGATGTACCCTGATTCCTTTGATTTCCTCAAGATTTTCTCTGATCTTCTCTGACTTCCTCATAACATCCTCTGATTTATTCAATATTTCCCCTAATTTGTCAACAAATGAATAAAAAACTTACTGGCGTATGCGCATTTTTCAGCAACTTCGCTTGATTTCTTCTGAATCCTCAATTTTTTACATCAATTTCCTGTGCGATTTACCCCTAAGTGTAAATTGTATTGTAAAATCCAATAAATGAACTAGAATCCCCACTAAATAGAGTCCAATGAGAAATCGCAAAAAGGAAACAGATAGTACCTACTATAAAATTACAATACAATAAAAAACGGACACATTTACTTCGAAAATTAGGGATCGTAAAATTTTTATAGGGGCTACAACTGACTTATAGTAAAGCCAGTAGGTACTTCAGCACACAATTTTATTCGATAAAATACATATGATTTGCAGAATCATATTTAAAAAATAAAGTAGTTTGGTAAATAAAAAAAAAATTTGAAAATTGTATTTCTCAAGTCAAGTCAAGTAGAGAGTACGACAAAGCAATTCGTTTTTTTTTTAATTCAAAAACATTTACAGAAATGCGAAGCTATACTACGGTTCACTGCATACACAAAAACAAATTGAAACGTTTAACACTAAGAAGACTATCAAAATCATTAAGAAGCAAATCTTAATAAATTTTAATTTTAATTTAAACCCAGTAAAAATTTCAAAATAAATACGTATTGATACCATACTCACATAGAAACAAGCTAGTCTTCACTTTTCTCTTAACGCAGTAAAAATATTTTCGCTAACTAATAAAAATGACTAATAATGAGTTCTCTTGTTCTACTACAATTAAAAATAATAATAGTGCTATAGGTAGCCCACAATCTTTCTTCCATAAGGAATGAAAAATCAGTTATTGAAGCTACATTAACTCGCATATCGACTGGAAACATTTGTTATTAATTACTATGATCGTGGCGGTTATAGTTTAAGAAACTGCAAAAAATTTAACGAAATTTTAAAAAATATGAGCATTCAACAGCATACTTTTCATCATTTTTAATCGAAGCAATTTTTTTATTTCACTTTAGTTTGCCTGCCTTGACATATGCTCTGTACAGTAGATTTTTAAAATGAAAAAATAATTAAAAAGCAACTTTTTATCAAATATCTTTCTTTTTTCATTTAGAAGATTTTTTTCAGGGACACAAAAAATAAGTCATAATAGTGATTAATATCAATAAAAGGAAATGATAAATAAACTTTGGCCGATGTTAAAGCTCTTATAATACTTATACTGTTAATTTTTTGATGTTACAAACTATTGAAAGTAAACTTTTGTAAAGTGTGAAGTAAAAGGCTGATTCATCAGCTATTAGCTGGGTGACAGTTATCGCAGGAAATTAAATAGAATCTCATACATAATGCCACTATTTCTTGTTCAAAAGCATTGAATGATATATAATTCCAATATAATTAATATAATTCCAAAGTAAAAGTATAACTGTTTAGGCATCGTGTTTGTCCGTAGTAACAAAAAATAGGTACTTGCAAACCTGAAAAACTTTTTACTTGAAATTTTCAGAACAAGAGAACACCATTATTTATGGTCTCATGGCTGTCACGCGTGGAACTGAAGACTCCTGTTGAAAGTCTGCTACTTCGTTGTTAGCGGTATTGCCGATTTTTTAATGTATCCGTAAAATCCAAATATTATAAAATTATATTCCTTATACTTACCGCTATAATTACAAATTTTAGGGTTGGTAGCAAAGGGCGAATGGCCCAGTGCTAAATTTGGAGCAAATATTTAACTGTTAAATGCGAGTACAAATTTCAAAAAATTAAATATACTTAACTAAATTGTGCTAAGTGCTGAAACAAAGTAAACACTGCAAGGACATACTGAAAATTACATTTACGTTTTGTAGTTAATATTTATATGATTGAATCCAAAGTATAATCAAGTGATGTGATAAAATAAAATATAAATGATTTAAATCTGAACAAATAAGAGTATTATATTTTATCTTTTATTCTATAAGCTAGACAATTTTGTATATATTATTTAGTTTAATTTATACGATTCGTAAATACGAAGTAAATGAAACTAAATCGACCATAATTTCCACTGAAATAGTTGTGATTGATCACAAAAATATTTATTGGTTAAGTTTATGTCTAAAGTGAAGGAAACCCAAACTTAGGCATAAACTAAACGGTGATGTAAGTTCCTGAAACGTATGTGTAAGTTAATGTTAAAGAAGTATATCCCGTGTTAAACCTATAATATAAACTACCGCTTTTAACATTTGCCTCTTTTTTTAATAAAGAATTTACTTGAAATTTGTTATTAAAGTATCTTTGTGATTTATTTCATAAAAAAAATTTATCTGCGATTTTGCTATATAGGTTTGAAACAGGATTTATAGTCGATATTATTGTATCACGTGTAGTGGCTAAATTTTGTCCAAAAAGGGAAATTAAGAGAACTTGTGAACAATTTATATATTTTTTCTTACAAAAGATTTAGTCATTACATAGTGAAATAAACTTTATAGGTTCTGCCTTATCAGTATTGTAAAAATGTCTTGAGGCATTACACGAGAAGTGTTAATTTATTATGTAACAATTAAGTAAGACTTTGTATTAAGAATATATACAAAACATGTTAATGTATCAGTATTATTTCTTCCTATTTCAAACGCAGCAACAAATTCGTTTATTTATGTAAATAAAATTTTACAATAAAATAAACACAACTTGTTCTATGTTACATCAGTTCTTCCATTTAATATCCTAAAAGAAGATAATTAATACGCAAATTTCATAAATAATTGACTTATCCTACTGGGTTATTGAGGCTACTTCTAAGCAAATACATTGCTTGACTTTCAGGCTCAACCCTTTCCATATATTTCAAAAGTGAAATCTTGTCCTTTTGTTCAACATAATAATTAATCACATATGTGTGTACATCTAGTTTTTCTGCTAGGGTTAGTCTTTTGGAAGCATCCCCTACACACCCCAAAAATTGTTCGATTATATTTTCTGGTGGTTTATGACGACTAATTGCAAGGACAAATAAATCTGGTCTTATTCCGGACCTAAGGACACGTTTTTTAATAACCCACAGCTGCAAAGTAATACACAATAAAGGATTATGATTTTTGTAGAAGTTACAACACCTACGCTTTTATTAATAAATATAGTCAATAATTTATCCCAGTTCTTCATCTTACAACAAACACTCATTATCACCCAATCGCATTGAAAACTATCCATTTTAAATTGTTTCTGAAAATCATCAATAAGTCCACTCCCATCTTTTTCCCATTTTGTCATATATAAATTCGTTAATTCTCCAATCAAGGATTTACTATTTAAATTGTGTTTAATCTGAAACTCTGAAAATTTCTTCAGATGACATTTACACAAGAAAATGAAAAACCACCTAAAAATGACATATTTTCCTGGATTTCCGATTTGTCTTCAGGAGAATAGAAATTATGTGCATGTTGGATGTTAAATTGTTGTAGTTTTTTCAGCAAGCTATTTTGATTGGAATCATCTTTGGCCAATAAACAGTAGATGTGTTTCTAGAACATGACGTGAAAATGAAAACAAAATCGCCAGTAAATGCAACATTATGAATATTTTTAATAATCTTTTTTTACAAAGTAGATAAAGCCTATAATTCTGTTCCCCACTCTAGTTAAATAAAATTCGTTACAACGGCATCACACCAATTCTTGACAAAACTTTGGGGGATACATGCTGTGACATATCTTCTACAATTTTTAGTATTGAATTTTAGTACCATATACAGGCTGCGCCAAAACTCGCTCCCCAGAGATAAATGCCATATATCAGAAACATGAAAAAAATGTTTGAAAAATTCTATCTATAAAAATTTCGAAGTTATGAGAGTTTAAATTTTCCACTTTGACTCTTATTTATTTCTGTTGGAAAAATATTTTTTCAAGTTTTTTTGCTACAGGCTATTTGAAGAGGAAACAAGGAAGCTGTATCCTAAATTCTAACACTGTTTAATGTTATTTGTGGCTTTTATTGGCAAAATTTTTGTAGCTTTACTAAATAATTATAAAAAACATATACATGATGATCAGTATCATTAAATAGACATAAAAAATGTCAAATGTCCAAAAAATTTTTGAACATTTTTTCCATGTTCCTGGTATCTTATCTTACTTGAAATTTTTCTCTGGGGCGCGAGTTCTGACACACCCTGTATATTTTATTGATAGTAACATGTATCATTGTGATGACTCAGAAAGCGACGTAATTACTGTTCACAATACTTACCAAATATGGAATATTTCTAGTTGCCCTATAAACAAAAGCAAAAACAACTCATACTGTTAAATAAACAACTTGCAACTCACATATACAAGTCAGCAAGTTGTTGTAAATCATTTATTTCCACGAGATAATTGGCATAATGTTTAACTGCAGCGTTTCGTTTCGCCAGTTGAGTGAAAAATAGATTACTACTAAGAGATTTCTTTAGAAAAAGTATTACCTAAATACCGATAAAAAACATATAGAATCAAAAACTGCAATAATCTCATACTGTAAGAATAATATCTCCATCAGCAATATCAAGTGCTGCATCTAACAATAGTAATTTATCTTCTAATGTCTTGTATGCGGTAAGTATAATGTTTTCTCCACAAAACTTCCTCTTCATTGTTTGTTCTGGTGGAGGCACTACTTGATCCACTACAAAATTAGTATCGTCTAAAACTAAAAAAAAGTTAAATAAAAATCACGTTTTCAAATAAAATAAAAGCGTACCTATTTTTAGGCACTCATTGGAAATAATTGAATGAATTGGTAATATAACTTTTTCTTGTGAAACGCCACTAAAAACATCAGCTTCACAAGGTGTAATTTCCTGAAAAAGGTAGATGTTTTATTTAATTTTGTAACATAGTTATTTCAATCATACATCATCGCCATCAAAAAAATTTTGTTGACTTGAAGAACTTGCATTCCAGAAATCATCTTCATTGGAAGACATCGTGACTTGAAGAAAAATAATGTCCTAACAACTACTTTTCACTAAAAACCAATAAACAACTGAATTAATTAATCACAACCTTAAATAGTAGTTCTAACCATTCTAATTTTGATAAAATTACAAAAACTGCTCACCACTAAATAGTCGCTAGCTTCAAATTTTCAGGTTAGGTTATTCTATTTATTTATTTACTTTTGTAATAGGACAGGTAGGAACCTGTCATAAAACTTCAAAATTAAAGTGCTACCATCTGTAGTATTTAAAAAAAATTAACAGTAAAGGCTAAAAAGAGTTTAGCTCTGCAACACACTATACACCGCATAATGTGAGAAAACTTTAATTTTTGAGGCTGCAAAAAGTTTTAACTTTCTAATGCCGAGTACCCACCAAAATCATGTTTTGAACTTGTTCCAAACATGATTGAAACTGGTTCTAAAGTTTTAGTTCGTACACAACACCATGTATGCAACAAGTTCGAAACATTTTTATAAAGTTCGCTACCTATATGCAGTAGTAATTTCGAATTAGTAAATTAGTGAGCTTTATTAAGATGTCCAAAGAAGAGGACAAACTTTTTTTACTTGCTAGTGTTGTTGCATTTGTTTGTATTGTTGCTACAACTAAAAAGAAAGAAAAGGAGGTGGTGGCAAATAAGTCCGTAGAAAAGAATATGGCCTAATAAATCTATTAGAAGATTTGCATAGAAAATCTGCATTCACAAAACTCATGAATAAAATACGTGTTTATGCTACTCGCAAACTTTTATGCGCGTCCACACCCAATCACCGAACACCGTTTCTTTGATCTTATTGCTACGAAGAGTCCGCGAAGGTTCCGAACTTTGTTCCGAACTCATGTTCAGACATTGTTCAGAATACACGTCTTCACCGAGTTCATGACTCTCTCGAGGTTGCTGAACATGGTTCTGAACTTGGTACAAACTGTTTTAAGCTAAACTTCAGTGGGTACCAGACAGAAAAAAGTTCATTTCTTATTAGGTAATGTACTTGAAAACCTGTCCAAAAACCTATGAAACTATTTTGTCATGTTTTTGAACTTAATTCTAATTTGCAACTTGAAAACAAAAAGACTTTATTAATTAATGAATAGACCTTGTATACTATTATTATCAGTAATTATCACCGTTTTCAGTTTATTTTTTATATGTACTTACATGTATATCCATTTTAATCACCCTAAACTACACTACGCAATTCCTTTCTTTGTTATTACAATAAAAAACAAGTAATTTTCCTTGTTAAGTAACAGCAAAATTAGTTAGGTACTTACCATAAACAATTTTATTTTATGTTTATTTCTTAGCTATACAGGATGTGCCAGAACTCACGTCCCATAGAAAAAATTCAAGTAAGACAAAATATCAGGAACATGGAAAAATGTTTAAAAAATTCTATGTCAACTTTTTTTTTATTATTTTATTTTTTGACATGATACTGATGATCTTGTATATGTTTTTTTATAATTATTTAGTAAAGGTACACAAATTTTGTCAGTAAGAGCCACAAATAACATTAAACAAAGTTACAATTTAGGATACAGCTTCCTTGTTTCCTCTTCTAATAGCCTGTAGCAAAAAAACTTTTAAAATTATTTTTCCAACAGAAATAAATAGAATCAAAGAGCAAAGTTTAAATTCTCATAACTTCGAAATTTTTATAGATAGAATTTTTTTAACATTTTTACCGTGTTCCTGGTATGTTACCTTACATGACGTTTTTCTCTGGGGCGCACCCTGTATATTGAATTATGATGTGTTTTATAATTAGATTCGGTAGCATGTTAATAAGAAAAAAGCAAGGCCGTAACCAGGATTTTATTGTGGGGGGGTTTCTTGTTGGTCCATGAAAAGGGAATGAAGGAAGGCAGAGTGAAAAGCAAAAAAAGCATTGCTTATCTCTAAGTACACGTTTTTATTTTAAATTGAAATAAGAGGTCCTAATTAAACATAAAAAATCACAAATTAACAAAAAAAATAGTAATTTATTATACAAGACAATAAAGAAATTGTTTATCTGCGAGTGGAAAAGTTAAATTTACGAGTAACGAAGTCACCAGTGGACTTTTTTTTTCACGAGCAGATGAACAATCTTTATCGTCGTGTGTATTTCGTTTTATTTTGTAGGTACTCACCTACCAGAATTTCTTGAATATAAATAGTAGATAAAAATTACTACTTTATCTACTGAAATTAATTGGTAAAAGCACTCTTTAACATTGAGTACAAAATAAAATAAATTTTTAATACTTATAAAACCATACAGGTTTTAATACTTATAAAACCATACATGCTGTTCCGTTTTGTATTGTTACAAATTTAAACAAAAGATAAAATATTTAATTTTAATACAAAAGGAAACTTTTGAACATGAATCGAAAAATGCTACGCAAGGGAGCTACATCCCCTCAAATGGGTGCGTCTTTTAATAGGTTTTTTCCAATATTTCCGAAACCATTTTAGAAAAAAAAAAAAAAAATTGGTACAGATGATAAATTTTATACACCTAAACGAGTTCAAAGATAAAATGTTGAAATTTTTAATAAGGGGCTTCCTAAACTAGGCGGGTTTAGGGTAAAAGTACTCAAAATTCTGAAATTCTAAATTTCATAGTTTTTCATAAAAAAAAAATCTCTTGCGATTTTCCGATACAACTTACCAATTTTCAGTAAAATCAGTTTTAAAATTTATGTTGCAGACCATAAACAGCATAAAAATTAAAAATTAAATTTGTTTTACCGTTTAGGACGCCCCTGATTAAAAATTCGCCATTTCATCTTGGTATTCGTTTAGCTGTACATATAAAGGTTATAAGATGAACCAAATTTTGTAATTTTATCTACTCTAAAATATTAGAAAAAACCCTTTAAAAAACGCACTCTTTTTAGGCAGTGTAGCTCCTTTACATAGCATTTTTTCAAACATGTTAATAAGAAACTTTTGTATTAAAATTGAATATTCTATCATCTATTTAAATTTGTACCTAACAATAAAAATGGAACACCCTGTATGAAAAATTAATTCACAAAAATTAAAAATTAACTCACTAAAATAAGAAAAAAATAATAAATAAATGTTTAATACTTATAACACTATATAACAAAGTGTTTAGTATTTCGGGAGAGGTTTGAACCCCCTTGGGTACGGTCCTGGAAAAAAGACTACCTAAAGAAGAAAACTTAATTCTTAACATTTAAATACCTTTGTTTGTTTGTGTAGTTATTATGTTTTCATAAAAAAGATAAACGTCTTTTATTTTCTTTATTTTAAATATCTTTAGCTTTAAAAATGAAATAATTATTATCGATGAGAAAACTAGTAATTATCACGCGCATGTACGTTCAATATTGTGTGCGCGCAGATGACTTTCAATAGTCCTCCATTATCCTCAATCTTGGCTAATATTTTTTGTGAGTGTCAAACGTACCAATTTGTGTTGCTTACACTTTAATCAAATATTACACTTGGAAGTAAACTATCTTACTCTCCTTATGACTACAAACTTGCTGTATGTATCATGTTAGTTAATAAATTGCCTATTTTTGCACTGTTGCATTTGATGTTTTATTTATTTTCTTCCACTGATGCACATGTTTTCTTTTGTTTCGACTTCAAAATGTATGCATGAACATCATTGATCAATTATTTTCATTGAAACATAATTCTAGCTACTCAACTATCCTAATGAGTCAATATTACACTAAACTGGTCCAAGTACAATACTTGTACTTTGTACTATAAGGAATTTTTTTATTCCTATAAAACTTAAAAAAAGCGATGGTAAACAATACATATATGAAATCTTATCTCTGACAACAATCATTTTGGCTAAGAATTGTTAACAGAGTTTAAAAGATTTTCAAAATTATTAAATACATAACATTGTTGCTATAAGAACAGCGAAACAAATACTTGCTTATATGGAAATAGAGGTTTAATAATATTTAGAATGTAGTGAAAGATATTTTTTAAATACTGCAACTTTGTACCATTCTTTTTAAATAAAATTTTTGACCTCAGTAGCCTGTAATTTTGGATTTAAGTTGGCTACATTGAAAAGATTTGCTAATAACTAAAATTATTTACTGTTACCAACTTAATTTTAGAGGCGACTCTGATCAAAAACTTAACTGAAGCCATAGCGGAAAAATGTGGTTTATTTTAGGATTTGAAAACCAGTTTATTGACTTTGTTCTTTATTTATTTAGTAAATGTGCTTCATTCATTGATTTAATGTAATGATTTTTTTACAAAGAATAATAATTACACTACATATAAGTTTGAAACTGTAAAAATGAACATAAATTAAAACGCCTTCTAACACAGCTGATAATTATCCTTTACTTGTTTAAAAATACCTACTCGTTATAGGTCGTAAATTTCATTATCACGTGTACATGTAATGATGAACCTATACGCAAAAAATATGTATTTATAACCATCATGTTTCCTTGGTACTTCTCGCATTTGCGGAATAATATAGTTAAGAAAAAATAACAACAGATTAAATTTAACTCAGATAAATAAGGATAACTCGTAAAATCCGAAGGTATATATAGACAACAGATCCAATACATTCTTTGTGTACAATAATTATTTTAGGCTTATAAAAGAAGGTCGAATCCTCTCACTCACAATGACGTGAGTACACTTTTGTGTCGACCCAACTGTCACGACACTGGCGCGTGGATTTTACAAACGTTGAGTCCCGATGTAAACAACCGCATCTGTATTATAGACGTGCGAACACACAGTTGAACTTGTTAGTCTTTACTTGTTTTTTAAAACAGTTTGCATTCGAATTTAGTGCATCTCTTTATTTTATTATAATGTTAACTGAAAACAATCTCCAAAAATTTGATGCAGCACACCAAAGGTAAGAAATAAAATTATTAAATTAGTATATCAGCTAAATCTTTTAACACAAAAAATAAAAGTTTGTACTTTACTAAAAAAAGTTATAAAGCAATTTAAGCTATGAACAACAGCGAATATTTGCGTTGAGTGGCATCTTGTATTCTAGTGGATATTCCATTATCGGTGTTAAAAGTGTTAACTTCAAAGATTTCACGGAATAATTCCGCTAAGCCATGAAGCTGTATTAACTGCATTATTATTTTAATGAACGGAAAAATAAGCCTTTGCAAAGATGACTAAGTGCAATTAAAATTTTAATTGTTTGTATTCACAGATTCCTGTTTTTCATTGAATAACCATTTGTCTTTTGAAACTTCTAATTTTTTGTTACCTATTAAGTATCCAATTCTGCTGATTATTAGCCAAACTTCTATTTGTTGTAACAATCTTATCGAAAATACGTTATAGCAACTAATCTAAGGCCACAATTAGTTTGAAATTCTTGACTTTTACCCATCTACATGTTTGTTTGAACAAGGGTTGCGATAACAGAACAACAAAATGGATTTACGGTTTGCACTGTCAGAAGATAATTTGCGATTGTTTCCGATTTCATACAAGTCCGTAGTTTGTTTTTTCCTTAATTTCACGTTTTGATTGAAAATAATTCCATAAAATAGGCAAGTGTTATATAATTGAATTTAAAAAAAGACTAATTTGATCTTCAATGACCAAAAAAGAGTTATTTTAAAAACAATTTGAATTCGATTTTGCAGAAAATGCACAATTTTACATTTAATTAAAAGTGCTAATAATAAATAATTACTATTTAATGAAGCTAATCGCATAATGCGTGACGTTTTGAATGGCGCAGTACTTTGATAAACTTTGTTTTGCTTGCAAAATAATTAATAATTCATATCTTCGCAACTTTATTGTTATACCTAGGGTCGGCTTTAAGCACATTTAACTGAAGTCGAATTTAGCGTCATTATTTAATATTCTTGCAGGAGCGCTAGTGAGTTTTATCCTGAAGCTATTGATCAATTAGTTTGAACGAAGGTGTTAGTAAAGTTTAATTTTTATCTCGTTGTTTCAGAAATTGACTTGTATAAATGTGCATATGTGGTTAAAATATTTTGCATAACAGACAAACATACGCTTCTATAAGTATTTACAATGGTTTATTTTTTGAAGTTTTTTCTTTTGTGTGCTCGTTATACAACTTTATTTCATTTTTAACTAACGTGAATAATTAAAAAGAAAATAGATACTATAATCTGTTCCTCTTCACACAAAAACTTGGTCTTCAAACTATACAACGCAAGTTTTGTTTTAGCTCTAACTATAACATGAACAAACTTTGCCGGCAAGTGTCTATTGAATCGCCTGCTGGATCTAGCAGCGAATGTGTTTTCAACTTCGAAGTCCCAGTTCCAGAAGTACCACCAAATGGTGCACGCATTCGGGTTGTGTGTGCTGGAGCTTGTTATAGAATGAGAAATAGGTCTCCATCAACCTCAAGCATATCTTCAGTTCAGTCAACTGAAGAATCATATTATTCGGGAAATCATGGTATTCGCGATGGTGCTTTGTTCCCTGGCTATGAGGTATCTGGAATAATCGATGCACTTGGGAGTGAAGTCAAACCTACAGATGACATTGCTGAGAATAAAAGAGTTATTTTGTACCCATATGATGGGATTCCACACGGTTATGCTGAATACATTGTTGTTCATGATGTATCTTTCTTAGTACCAATACCCGATAATTTACCATTGGGTGTCGCCGCTATGCTTCCAACTGGAGCGTTGTTAGCCAAAAGTGCTGTTTTCACAGCTCATAAATACGTAATGGATTTGTTAAAAAAACGACCTGATGATCAGATTTGTAGAATTTTAATTGTTGGGACTGGAGGTCTAGCCCTTTGGGCAATACGCATTTCAGAACACCATTTCAAGTTTCCAGAACAGTATAAAGATAGAGTACAAATAACTGTTGCAAGTCTGAAGGATGATGGATTCAAACTAGCCAATGAATTGGAAAAGTACTGATTGATTTCCTATTGCAAAGTTAATTATAACTTTTTTATTTTAGCATAACTCTTGTCCAGTGGAATGAAGAAGTACATGAAAAACAACTTATTGACAGAACTAAGGATGCTTGTAAGGGGCTAGTTGACATCGTTATTGATTTTGGCACTACATCTCGATCATTGCATAGGTCTTTGCAATGTCTCAATACTGTAAGTTCTGTAATTATGTAACATAAGTTAATCATAAAATTATAAACATCAGGGTGGAGTCGTGCTTGTTAGTGAGGAAGTAGCAGAACGTTTGTTACCCAAATTTTCTACGCTAATTAACAAAACCAATCAAAAAATCGAAGCCGTATCAAGTGGTTCTATTGAACAACTTAAGGAAGTTGTAGCGCTTGTTGCTTCTGGCGAGGTAGGTTTTTACAAAAATATAATTCTTTATTATGACTTTTTGAATTTAGATTATACCACCTCCGCATACTGAATTTTCTCCTGAGGAGGCTTCTACAGTCGTGCAAAAGCTTTGCCGATCAGAAATTCCCGGAAGGGCTATACTTCGTTTTCAGAACATTCACTAAATTGCACAGATAAATATTTTTTACTTTTTCTGTATTTTAATGATATTTAATATTCACCAAAAATATTTTAATGTCATTATGTATTTAGAGACCTGCATATGTATTAAATTGGTATACGCATACACCCAGAGTATTCCAATGTATACCGATAAAATGAGTTTAATTTTTTTTTCATCCATTTAGAATTTACCTTAAGCTGTAAATGTTGATCATCACAGCTAACTCACTTTATCGGTGCCCATGTTTTTGTGATCTAAAGTATTTATGGCTAAATTGGTATTAAAGAATTCTAGTATACAATGTTTTTTAAAGTATTACTACTACGAAATACATCTGCATTTATAATTAGGATCACTTCAAAAGTTCGTATGTATACATTTAATTGGTTTATCTTTATTTCACTGTATTATTATGTAAATATTTTCTTAATATATTGTATAAATAACGTTTACAATTTTTTCTTATAATTATGTCCATTGCAAAAGAATCGAATTGTGTGAGGACATTATACAAGGAAGAATGAAAAAACTATTTTTTCCCAGAAAACATAACGATTCTGTTTTGCGTCGTAATCATCCAATTACTCATTATAACTGATTATATCAGAACATATGGTATACAATAAGTGGAAATTTCTTTCGATGATTCTGACTTTCCACCTCCAATAATAAATTTATTTAAACGTTTGAGATATTTATGGATATACTTCCATAATAATTATATTCTATATTATACATATATTATTCTGTTTTTTACGACTTTCTTGAACTGACTAATTTCCCAATACTTATCCCTCAAAGGTCGGATTTATACCTTTCCTAGAATAACGTCTTGAAAGTAGGAGAGAAAATTAAATAAATAAAACTTGTATTAAAATAATTTTATTAGAATCAGTTTGTTGTAAATATTTACGGAAACGTAACATAACTTTTTGTTAAATATTATAAGTTATAAAAGACAGAATTTCTTAACACTAATACAAAAATTAAAAGCGTAACATTCACACAAACAAGAAAGCAAAATATATTTCTGATACTATATTTGATATTATTAAAATGTAATCCTTTTATGTGAGTCACTTATAGACAAATGATAATATTTTAAGATCAAATTGAAAACTACTGCTAAAATATCAAAAACCGACATAGATACGAGATTTTTGCACATTAATAATGTTGTTGGGTATGATCTGATTTTATATAATATAATTATAAACTTAAGTGCTTTATTTTATTTCTTAAATCGTACATAAACTAGATACTAATGTTGTAAATATTTATTAATAAAAGCACTGTTAACCTACATCTATAAATTTAAAAAAAATATGTACAAAACTTTCTTATAATAATTAAAACATTTTTGGTATAACGGTAACAGTGGCACAACTTTTAGCCCAGCACTGTATATTTATTTTCTTAATCTAGAGCCAAGCTTTGGTTTTTCTGTTAATATCGCTGGTTTTACAGAAAATTTTGATTCAGTACCGCAATTGCTTATTACTTTTTGGGGTTCAACAAATGCTTCGTAAATGGGATCATCACTTTCACTGTCTGTCGAAAAAGAACTCTTGCTATTCACGGATGATGTTGACTGGATGTCACTATGTCTGGATAATGATCCATTTGATGCATTATCTTTCACTGGAACTGATGGTAAGGCAATATTTTTTTTAATGCGTCCTCGCGCAGGCAAGTCTGGTGGCTTATTTTGATAGAGAGCATTTCTAAAAAGTACATCTATTGTTAGACTGATGATCACGATAGTATGTTGGTGTTTACGTTTCAACATCATTGTCTTTGTCAAGTGGTTCAAGGATCGTGTCGTAGGTTTCGGAAATCTCATCATCTGAAATCGATGGCTCTGAGCAGTTGAGGCTATTGTGACATTTATTAATGTGTGAAATCCACTGGAGTACATCTTTATATGTTGACGTAACGAACTATAAAATTAAAGGCAAAGAATATACAACCTTACATCATACGCGAATAATAAAAAAGATCAACGAATGATAAAAATAAATCTCAATTTTATAACGTAAATATCTGTAGGAAGTTCTATTTTTAATTATACGACATAGGATATCTCAGAAATATTTATAACAAAAGAAAACGAGAGGGAGGAAGAATAAGACAAAAAACAAAAAAACACTTACATAGTATGTTTTTTCCTCTCCTAGAGTACAAATTAGTTCAAAATCTTGTGGTAGATTCTTATTTTGTTTGGTTGGTACAATCTGAGCTTTGTGAATTTTGAGATTAAAGGTTTGAAACGGTTTGGGATCTTTCACAGAAGAATATAGTAATAACCAGTTGTCGTGTAAGGCTGCATAAACTCGACGATTTTTCTCAAATTTAAGTATAATTTTATACCTCCACGTGAGATAGCCGTATTTGATTTCCTGAGATACTTCTTTTGCAGGTAAATCTAAAATAACTTAATAAAATACAGACTTACCAATAAAATTTACTTACTAGCATAAGGGTTTATTGACACTTCTACAACTGGTGTTACACACCGTGCAATTGTCGATTCATCTACTGCAGCATAAATATCATTTGTGTCATCTTCATTTATTTCTGCTGAAAATGATAGTTTAAAAGGGAATTAATATGTTTAAGTGTGTTTAACATGCTTAACACTTTGTTGGTTTATTTACGTATAAAATATACAAAGTTCCTGTGATAGATCCCTATTTACGGGTTCTGGAAAAATAATAAAAAATTAAATATCACACGACACACGATGTAAGAAAAAATGTTAAAAAAAAATGGATTTAGTTAAGTAGAATGTTAGATTGTTCAATATTACTGTAAGTTGTGAATAGACGAAAAAATCCCAAAACCGTGAAATGTTTTGAGGATATTTGACAAGCAAGTTGAATGTCAACCTTCGTGGGGCTTCAATCTCTATGGCCACTCGCAATCTCACAACACTAAAGAAATGTTTAATTATAAAGATACAGACAATACAGCAGTATTCAGCAAAAAAAAATTAAAATAATATTGTAATGGTTTTAACTTGTTTAATTAAGGGTTCGAATTTATTTTTTAGTACTAATTGTAAAGGTATCATTATTTACTTTGTCGAGAGATTGTGAAGTTGTTTTTCTCTCCTAGTGGTCAATAATCATTTTCATTATAAACCAAGAGCAATATTGGATTAGAGGTAAGTGATTCTGCCTGGTTGCGGTTAGAAGGGTCGGTACCCATAGGTACCCCAATAAACAAGCGCCATTTTCATTTTGTTTGATTGTACCTTTAAACGGTATAAGTTGTGAAAAAGGAGATGCTGTAAGAATAGATTGGATTGTAGTTGCAACGAAAACGGGGAATGTTTTGCTCTTTTTTTATTAACTCGGTAAATATTGGTTTGGAAGTTTTAGATGTTACTCAATTGGTTTAGTGCAGTTTTAGAGTTTGAAAGAAATTAGGGATTTTAATATGGTTTTGGATTTTTTTTCCGGTCGTTTTATTGTCTTTTTAGGTTGTTTTAGTTTTTGAAGTGTCTAATTGTCCTGGTCTAAAACTAACATTTTTTTTGAAAAGTAATAGAGTAGATATTGGATCGCTTGTGATTTTGCAGCAGTTCCATATTCTGGAACCAGTGAAATTGCAGACAAGACTGTTGATATATTTTTTTATTTTACTAATTATTATCTTGGTGAGTACCATCCCTCCTTGATTTGGTGTTGTTTTCTCTTTTTTTTTGCATGTGCCAAATGGCTTGGTCCAGAAATAAAAATCCATTTTAGGGTGTTTAAAAACAAGGTATTTTATAAGTTTTTATGGGTGCTCTTGAGGTAATTTTGCATAATTTTTGGTGATTTTTAAAGGTCTTTTAGTGTGCCCAATTTTTGGTGGTCTATAGATATTTGGGTACTTTTGGGGTGCCAAAAAATTAGTGCTTTTTGAAGAATTTTAAGTCCTTTTCGGTTGTTTACTTTCCGGAAAATAGCTAAATTTTTAGGATTCTGACTTGTTTTTAGGGCACCAAATATCCTGGTCCAGAAGTAACATTTTACATCTTACTCAATTAGCAGTTAAAAATTTCTGTTACCCTAAAGACACTACTATTTTTTTGTTTTTATCTAGATCTACATAGCCTTTCGCTATTCGCTATCTCTACTCACAAACTAATAATCTATTGGCTTATGCCCTTGATAAATAAGTACCTAAATGTTAATTGCCGTTTGTTTAACATTGAAGTATTGTGATTACTGATTACCTACTACCTCCACTGTTCAACAAAGTTTAAAAAAATAGAATACCTCTTTCAGAGCTCCTATAGAGCAGCATATATGTACATCTTTTTAATATACTTAACATAACAATTTATCATTTTTAAAATTTTTAAGGAAAGGCTTCGCTCTTTTATTTTTATAACTTTATCAAAAGTTTCTATAGTGATTACAATGTGACATTAATTTTTTTTTTCACAACTCGTGTAGATTTAATCTTAAAAGTTTTAGGACCTATCACAGGTGCAACTACTGACTATAACTGATTATACTTCATGAATCGTCCTGTATACCAACCAGTATTAGGTCTCATTTCCATATCAACATAAGCTCCATTATTGTCGAGTGAAACTCTTGTTATGCTTAGCAATTGTTCTTTAGATCTCGTAATTAATTCATCTGCTTGTTTTCGGGCATAGGGTGACAATTTTTCATAATTTACATCATCCGATAGAAATTTGCATATATCTATAAAATAAAACAATTATTTAATTGAGAGTGAGAGGATGACAAAAGCAATTAAAAATTACAATAGCTAAACTTTTTACAATAACTAAATTTTTAATTTTGTAAGTACAATAAATTTATATTGTCGAAATTTCAATAATCAAGTGAGGTCTTTTTTAACAGTATTTAAAATATGATAAGATAAATCTTTTGCCTTAGTACCTAGTTATTATATTTAAACAAAAAATTTAGAAAACAAATTTGTTTTATCGACACAAGGAAAAGAAGTGATTTGTTTAAAAAGGAATGAATATCAGATATACATACACCTAAAAGAATTGTGTGTGCAATGATGAACTAAATATTCAAGTAAATATTTTTAAATTTAATGACCAAACTTATTAACGCATAAAAGAAGTTCTGTCCACTTACCACTTAATAATTTATTAAGATTGGAACATAGATCTTCCACTGTAACAGCCATAACACTTGTTATTACGATAAATTATTAAAGTACGTGTCTTAATTATTGGTCAATTGGTAGAACGAACTTTAACACATGATGTCTAAAATGCAGCCATGCACTGCTCGCACTGTCTAAATATTCTTTTGACGTTAAGTTTACCAAAATTATTTTAAAATTAAACTCCCGCAAAGATGAAACAAATCCGAGACCATAAAAAGTGGGGAATTTTAAGACTACCGACACTTCTGTAACGATGTTATTTTTACAACACTATATGACTCGCTTATCTTGCTTTATTCCACGCCCATTTTATTTCCTTTCATTAAATATACGAATGCTATCTATAAGTGGGTCAATGTTTTATATAAAATAACCGAAAATTATTACTATTATTATAATAAAAAATAGCCAAGCAATTTTTAAATACAAAACGGTGCAAAACTCATTTAATTTCAATTTTTTTGGCGCAATTGTTTAATATTTTAAGACATTTTATATGTGTACGAAAATCACATATTACTTGAAATTTAAAAAGTTCAATTGCATTCTGATAAGAGTATATTGCCGTTACAAGGTGGGATTGAAAGTAGTGGATTTTGTTGGTACAAATGTTTATTTACAAAAAATGATTAGATACAGAAATTTGTTTGAAAGCTAACTTTGGTGGGGCTCTCATGGTAATGGGTGGGCAGACATCACAAACTAGAAACAAACTCCAGACACCAGTACTCCGCACTATTATGCCTCAAGAAGCAAGAATAATGTTCCGGACCCTTACCGGTACTTCAATTAAAAAGGAGGTTTCTGAATTAAAATTTGAAATATGTACATCGTTTTAGTAGATGTACTACCATTTTCAATATAATGTTTAAAAAATTTCAATTAGTAGGTACTTAGATATTATTATAATTTATTGACAGTTAATTACTATGTAACTAATGACATCCAATGTCTTGCAATTTTTGATATTGAATTCAGATGTACATAGATACGAAATAGTAGTTTACAAGACAAAGATGAAATTTCGGACTCAAATATGTTATATTTATTGCTTGATGCATTGAACTAAAACTTTACATTAGGGACAATAAACTGTCATTATTGAGACAGAATAATAATTTTATTAAAATTAAGCGTTTCCGGTCCTACTATACCTATATCACTTAGATCCCAAAGCTGTGCTTAACAAAATGCTACGTTTCAGAAGTAACCTAAATATAATAAACGAGCTTAACTTCCTAATAACTTAGGCGTTCATATACATTAGAGAACAGATGAATAAAATTAATTATTTGTGGTGACATTATTCACTAATAAAATTTTCAGCCGTATAAGATTTCTTAAGGTTTAAGGGGTCGAAAACAAAACTAACTATGAACCTTTTAATATTTAATAAACCATACAAAAAAAAGCAATATAGATAAAGAACTCACTTGCACAATGTTATTTATCCAGTTCATCAGAATATTTATCACTCATCATTCATTCATAAAATAATCTAATCTTTTAAATATATGTGTAAATATATTAAGAACAAAATATATAAATTAATTAATCAAATTAATAATCGAACTTATTGTATATGACATACATACGAATTAAGTTGCTTTTTTGAGAAATTACAGATAAAACAATATTTTAATAGAGGAGCAAACTCCTTTTGCACTTGTCTATTGCATGTACACATAAAAAGGTGAAGAAACATTATAGGTCGGAGCAGATTATAGAATGAGGATTAGTAATGACCGAAAATCTTCCATAAATATATATGTATAAAAAAAACTACAATGTGTATTATGTCAAACAATAATCATTGCTGCTCTACACTATCTGCAACCTGCTCCGTGGAGGAATGTAGACACATGCAAGTAGTACTTAGTATAGAATAAACACAGAACGCCGTGAATACATCCAACCTAGCCTAGACTGGTGGACAAGTAGGTATCAGGAACTCGAAAATTTATTACACCAAAGTACAGCCACACAATGTCCTTATCTTCGTATATTCAGCTTTCAAAGGAAAATCTGCAAAACAGAAAACATTCATGACTAGTAGTAGTCAAACAGTTGAAAATTGGCGAGCTCGCAACGATGAGGGCAGGAAGAGCTGACAAGACCACCGCCCGGGTTAGTACAGGTTAGGTAGGAATAAAGGCGTCCACCAGCCAAAGAGGCCAGCGAGGGAGTTATTGTATGAAATACTCAGGGTGGTCCGAGTCTTTCTCAAACCTCTTGGCCTCCTCTTGCATGCTCTCTTTTATTTTCAAAATAGCAGCCGATTCCGTTTGGTCCTGCAAGGAAAGCGACCTTTAGTGGTTAAGTGTCAGTCTACAAAGCGTAAAGCACCGGCCACTGCGTTGAAACTCACGTTTTCTCCCGGTCCTCCAAATCCCCCTAAATTGTAGTCGCCCATTCCGCTACCGCTGTCCTCTCGAGGTGTGCCGGGCCCTCCGTTCGCTGGTGAATTTTTCATACCGTCCATACCATCACCATTCAAAACTGGGCCCATCGAGTTCGGACCCATAGGACCCATTGGCCCTCCCTCAGGTCCACCACCCATTTGAAATTCTCCAGGCATGTTACCACCCACTGCAGGCTTCATTAATGTGTACATGTTCTCGCCACCAGAATTCGATGAATCTTGCGGACTTGGCATTATCGGAGTTCCAGGACCCGGAGGACCAGCCGACCCTGGAGGGCCTCCGTAATTGCCAGGAGATGAGGAAGAATAATTCATAGGCTGAAATATTACCGTAATATAGCAAAATGCAAAACTACTTTACTTCACTACTGTAAAAAAAATTAAGGAAAACTATAATACTTACTGTAGACGTGTTAGGTTGCCACTGGGGCCTTCCACCTGGACCCGTCATCGACATGGGGGGCATTGGACCACCAGGTCCTAAACTGCTATTAGGTGGTGGACCTCGTAAACTAGGGCCATACGTCCCAGGCCCTAGTGGACCCATAGAAGGTCCTCTGGGAGGATTCATTCGATTCATAGGATTCATTCCTGGGGGACCTATCAAAAAATTCAGTCTTTACATATTTATTGCAATAGGGCATGTTCAGCACGTACGACACCAGCATGCCAGCACCAATGACTTCCATTGATATAGGTATAAATGTATATACATATACGTGTTTAAAATTTCATTATTGACCCTTATCTACATAATTATTAAAGTCTACGGACTGTGCCAATTTTTGCACTTACACAATTTTATTGTTATATGTAATTTTAATTTTTTAAATTTCATTTAATCGCCACTATCCGCAGGTATGTACCATTTTTCTTGACGGAAACGTTAATCTAAAAATTATATTAAATAAATAGATAAGGTTCGTCAATAAAATAATCCAAAACACTGTAGTTAGGGTAATCTAAAACCGACTAACTTATAATAAAAATTAATTTAAAAATGGCTTAAACTGCCATTACCAATGAGACAATAGCAAGTGTTAGATCACCCTGTAACGAGCAAAGCAAGTAAAAAGTGTATGCGTATGGATGTGTGATGGTGAAGGAGCGCATTGCCTACCTTGCCAACCTACAAATTCTCCGCCTTCACCTGGAGACAGAAATAGATGCATTACATGAGGCATATCATGAATTTTGCTTCATGCTTGTGCAATTCTTGTATGTTATAATCATTACTACTCTATTCATATTAATAATATTAATTTCGTAAATATTAATGTTATTATGAGTCAATACAATATTTATTGAAATAACAGGTAAAACAAGATGAACTTTTACCTTGTCTCGTAGGATCCATATTATTCGGCATCATTGGCTGTCCAGGGGGCTTTAAATATACAACGTTAATGAAAATGAGTTACAATTAAGAATGGAGTATTAACATATAATCAATGCTTAAAAGTGTTGATACATACTCCATTAAAATCGCTTGCGATCTGAGGCATCCTTACACCCGGTCTCGGTCCTGCCGGATACCTTGGACCCATAAATGGTTGCGCTGACATCATTTGTGAATGAGGTGGAGGCGGCTGAGAATGGGGAGAGGGTTGGCTTGAAGGGTGCGTGGGTGGTGACGGCCTCATCGTTGAATTCTAAATAATAAACAAAATGTTAAAATTGCACAAAAAAGAAAAATAAACACTTACTGGAAAAAATCCTGGTGGTATGGGACCTCCAGGCATTCCGTCAGCTGGAGGCATTTGTCCCAACGGACTTGGTGCTGGGCCAGTGTTCTAAATTTAAAATACATATAGTATATATAGAGCCGATTCAAAATTATGAGCATAATCTTAACCACAAAAAGTGAAGCAATTTTTAGCTTGTCATGTTTACTAATACTAAAAAAGATGTTAGTGGAGGGATTAAGAATAGAAAAAAATAAACCGTTTTACTCCTTATTTTCTTCGCTTTAAACTTTACAATTTTTTACGACTGCCATGCAAAAATACATTTATTCCGTCAAAAACATTGAAGTTGATGGTGATTTTCTACGACAGTTCCCAGGCTAAATGCATAGATTTTCCATTGTAACGAAATTTATGAAAACTTAATGTCCGAAAAATATTTTTCTTTTTTTTATTAATTTTGACCAAAAGATACTTCGATCATCTTCATCACTTCTATTACCTATTACATTTTTGGTTAAAATTATGCCACATAATTTTAAATCAGTCTATATAAGCACATGTACACAATACTCATAAACAAAATAAAGGAAACTTTTCTGTAGGTTAAATTTTATGTTTATCTGTTAATAAAGTTCATTAATTAGATGATGTGTGTATTTCACTGTCACACATTTATTTTTTTAAGTAAAATTTAGCACAGTAAGAAGAAAAATAAAAAGAAACTAAAAAAACAATTAACCAACAAATGTAGATGTTACTCTACCAATATTCAATAGTAAGAAGCGTATCCGTTATTCTTGATGCCTGCCTTGATATCTTCGGAACATAATTCATGAAGAGTTTAGATTCTGGCCATATCAACGCTTTCCACACTAAAACAACTTGACTAAAGATCATTTATAGTGTCTTTTATCTTAACTGATTTATATAAATGAAAAATTCCAAAAACGTTCTTTGTGGAGATACACTTAAAAGAGATGTTTGCCGAGAGACATTCAGAACAGCTTTAGGTACAATTTTAACAAAAAACATAAACTTATTTATTTTTGTCCAACTAAAAAAAAATATTATTCACGAAAAACTTTTATAAAAAATTGCTGCAATGAAGAAATATCTGAGTATAATATGTGTACAGAATATTTCCTTTATTTTGTCCATGAGCGCATAATATAACTCAATATAAAAATAAAAATACAATACAATACCGGATGACTATAAACGTTAGCAGTGCCAACTTAAAAATGGTCAATTTTTTCATTCATTTTATGTGTTCTCAAAGTATATTTTACAGTAATATGTCGTGGTATTTTTTAATTTTGGGACTCGAAAGACCAAGTGAGATGAACAGAGAATGTTTATCTCATTTGCAGGCATAGATTTTAAAAACTTTTAAAACGTTACTTTAGAAAATTCCAGTGACTCCAAATTCGAACAAAAAGAATGAAATAATATAAAACTATAAATGAAAAAATTAGTATTTTGCTGAATAAATAACCGCAAAGATAGTCCAAAAACGCATTTTCCTGTGTGAAAACCACTGATCACTGTCGGTACCACCTACCTTGTATTTATTAATTATTAAATTTAATTTATTAATTTTCCCAAGATTAAAAATATACGACTAAAGAATAAAAAAAAATAAAATAAAATAATAAGTGATTAAAATCTATCACTAAAGCAAATAGAAAAAAGCTTGAAGTGTCCTTTTGTGGCATAAGATTAAACTTTTTAGTGACAAGAATGAATTTGAATTCGAAAATACAATAAACAAAAACAAACAAATATTGTCAGTTTACCAAAAAAAAAAAACAAAAATTTATAATCAGTCGGTATAATGATTAATGAACAGAAAGTTGGAAATATATAAAATAATAATATATGTGTATTATGCATATTCATCGTAAGAATACGTTGCTTACATCCAATATTCCTAATTTCTGTCCACAAAATTTAAACTTTTTAGCAAACTATTTAATACTACCAAATACTCACATGTGCAATTCCATTAACTCCATACCCAGAATTTACAAAGCCCTAAAATAAAAGAAAATAATTAATTATTAAGATCGATCTACATTAAAAATCCGCATGCTCAAACAAAAACTTTCAAACATATATTTTTATTATTTTTACGAAGTATACTACTCATGTATCCACAGTGAAAACATTTATATCGAATTACAAAATATTTAGTGTTAGATAAAACGGAAAGGTGTTTTCTTCTTTGAAACAACTATTAAATTTTGTGCCAAATGATTGTTACGTAATAGTTAATAAATTGTGTCAGAAATTGTTTACCTTCTGTTTGATATAATTAGAATAAAAGTCAAAAAAATTAGTTGATATTTATTTTTATACTTCTGTTATATAAATAAAAGTACATATAAAATAAAATTTTAATTACATTGTTTTTTTTTTTTGTTGAACAATTTTAAAATATTTCAATTTAAAGACATTTTACTGTCTTCAAAATAAAGACATTTTTTAGTATAAATAATCCTAAGGTGGACAAAGTCCCCTACTTCCACATTGGACACAAAAATACTACATAACAACTTCTCCGGATACGCTGACAGCCAAACTTTGAATGAAATTTCTGCCACAATCCTTAATATTTTAAACGTTATAGACGCTTCTAGCTAGTAATATGCCAAGTTGTTCGTATTATCCATAAAACATTAATTTTGATAACAATTAACAACCATTCATTAAAAAAACTCCTTTTTTCAAAGGTAAGCAAACAAATCTTATGTTTCTTTCTATTTGGAAAAAACTAATGTTTTCCGTTTTGTTTTTTGAGACAAGTACAAAATCAATCTAACAAAAGTTTCTTACATTTTTTTAAAATTATTAAAAAACAATTGTGCAACAAAAAACTTCTTTCCTCGACTAGATTTATTAGAGTACACCGGAAAAGAGCAGATTTCTGGTTTAACTTAATGTATAAGTAATTTTTTTATTGTACGCAGTAGAAAACTAATACGCTATATAAAATAAAAATTCAAGTTATGAAAAGAATTAATTCATTTTATATTATATGTTTGAGAACTGCTGCTTTGGCTACAACAATGGCCTTTAGTGTCATCATCTTATTTTAAGGTTTCATCATTGAGCGTAAACTAATTTATTATTTAATATTGGCGTTGCATGTCCATAAAATTGAAAAAAAATCAAGAAAAAACTAATCAAACCTAAAGGAAATCATCTCATTGAAAGTGAATTAAAAAGAAGATCTTAATATTTTGATAAAAACTAAGACAAAAGCAAATCAAACGATGACAATGTCAAAACTATGAAGTGATATTTCTCTTTCATTGTCGTGGGTACGATTTCTTATTTTGGTTGCAACAATGTAATTTTATCTTAGCAATGAAATAATTCCAGTGACTCTCAACCTTGTACCAAAATTTTCGAGTTAAATAACGTCCTTAATAGAAACAATTATCTGAGGTTTTTTTCCTCTGTTACACTAGTTCTGCACTTTTCTATTACCAGGTCAATTTTCAGCTCCAAGACCGTAAACACCTTGTAAATAATTTCACATACGATAAATCAATATTGTTGTAAATATTGTTACTAGGTCCAAAATTTAGCGGTTTTACTGAGATGTGTACTATTTGCAAAATTAACAATAGCTATTTACGACACGAAAATGTTATAAACAAAAAATGTTTCGAAAATTTCGCGCTAAATTTTGTATGGCTGCTTATAAAAGCAAATAATAAAACCAGCGAATAGAAATGCGTACTTAAAGCAGCGTTGCCATGCTCCAACCTGGAGTATTGATCCACAAAGGACTACCGCTGTACTAGCAACACAGAACCAGGATATGGAATTAGAAGGAAGATATACTCACATAATCATGAAAAGCTTTGGCTTCTGATGAATGCTCACAAGTATCCCTTCTTTCTGGAGCGGCGCAGTATAAATCCCAAAATACGCTAAAAATAATTTCTTCAATAAAAAGCGTTCCCAAACAAAATTTAACCATCTCACCACCACCACGAATGCAAAAATCCAGGAGGCTCTCCTAACGTTATGTTCTTCTCCCACCGAATCTATAATTTGATTTTTTTTTCAACAATCACCATCATTGACAGAACTCACCTCTGAAAGAAATGTTTGTGCTGCCTTTTGTGCACCAACGTGAAGTAAGTATTCATATACGTATAATGCCAACCTGCACAATATTTAGTGTCAGTTTTTATATTTAACAGTGGTCTGATTGTTTTCAATTTGGAAAATTAACTATTGATTAAAATTTATTATAATCACAAAACCGGTAAAATTTTGAAAAATGAAATATTTAGCGGAACCGGAATTCGGAAGAATGAACGTCAGGGCTTTCGCACTGTTGACAGAGCAAAGACAATCACATAAACAATCCACCGCCACGTGGGTACGTCTTTAGCAATCGTCGCGATTGATGGAAATACAATGTGAAGAAAATGAATTGAATGGTTTGTTACGACAAACACCGTAGTAAAAACTTAAGAAAGAGTAAAGTTATATGACAGGACAAGTGTGCTTACTTTTCTCGTGCTTGTGCATCGGACGGCACTGTTGATCCCTTTCCTTTAGCATACATTTTTAAAATACAAAGGAACACAGAGCTCAATTTAACCTACATACAATTAAATATATTATTACTTAAAAATTAACTATTTGAGCGAACACGCTGGTTCTATATGACAAGAGATCCAGTTCATGGTAAATCTGGCTGGCTCAACTTCACCGCAGCCAGATTACTTTTCTACAATTAACATCACTTAAAAATATCTATAACTTGCCAACAAACACGCACATCGAAAACGCAACAATACACACATTAAATTCTTTCGACGCCGCACTCAAAATTCTCACTAAGATATTCCCGACTGCGCGTGCGTCACTGTCCCGTAGCCTATGTTGCCATAACACGTTACCATAATCACTCTCTTCCAATAATTTTATTTCCGTACAGAATTGGTGCAGTTCGAGCATTCAACCTCACACACAGATAACCACCTTCTGAACTTTGACTCCCGATAAAGCTCGCAGGAAAGAATTGCTTTTATGATTGCTTTTTCGGCTAAACAGTGACAACATACAATTAACTCCACGATCACCCTGGCAACCGTGGACCTTCTTGATGACTTGATGTACCGATATTTGACGTTTGCGCATAACAAGGGGGCGGGACTCTAAAGGTAAAATGTAGAAAAGCACAATGATCTACAACATAAATTTATCCTACACGGCATGTCGACAATCGAAAATGATGCTAAAATCCAAATAAGTTACAACTGTTCTAGGTTAATTCGCTCCACTTCCGTGCACTGTGTATGTGATGTGTAAAAAACAGTTGTGAAATATATCCAAGGGTGCTAGTGCCACTGTGACTATTTTGTCAATTTCCTTATTTCTAGAAATTCACAAACTTCGAAAAATATCGCCGGCCTTTTGCGTTTACAACTTGTGAAAAAAATGCAAAAACTAACTTTGCGTAATTTTCCTAAGAGATATTTTTAATGGAAACAGGATTACCAACATTTAGGTGATACAAATTTGAGGGCCACCTAAATAACAAAACATTCAAATTGAGGCAATAATAGCAGTCTTGCGTAATTAGACTATCAAGTTTCCCTAACTTTCTATCATAATATTCAGGGGCGGATTAAGCGTCGAATATTCAGGGCCTTCGAGTTCGACATCTTACAGTAGAACCTCTATAATACGAACTAATTATTGCAAGAGGTTTACACTTTAAAAAAAAAACAAACAAACTGAATTTATTTAAAAATTAAACTAAAATATAAAGAACACGCCTGTTAAAAGTACGTTTCAACTTAATAGTAGGTACACAAAAATCAGCATTTGCTATTAAAAAAAATTTTTCATGTTAATTTATTCAGATTATTTCCACTACTATTCCTAATATACCTACTTTTAATAATACAAAATTTTTGAAAAAATATACAACCAACAGTTTTTTTTCACTCTTATTATTTAAAATACATTTTGTATATGTATATCGAAATGAGAATGCTCAAAAATGTTTTATTAAATTTCTTAGCATAATTAAGAAAAATTTTACTCCCATTCTTCCCAAAAAAGCCAATTTGAGGCTGATTCTATTAGAATTATGTATAATTATTTCTTTAATTCCAATCTTATGGGAAATAAAAACAAAAGTATTTTTTAACTTCTTTATATTCACTTATCTAGTACAATAGTTTTCGTTTGCACAAATTGAGAAATACATTTGTAACATCTTTCATAATAATAAAATTTACCAACACCTTTATAACTTTTATAAAAATATAATCTGTACTTATTTACGCAACACCTACTAACTGTGGGCAGTTAGGAATATTGCAATTAAGATCTTGTGCACAACCTTGTTCTGGTCTTGATCTAGATTCAAAGTAATCAAAGAGAAGTGGTTTTTGACAGTACGGACAATTCTGAAAAAAATCATTTGAATAAACCAGGATATGTTAATTTGAGTCAAGCTACCTTTCCGCATTGAAGACCAGTAAATGGTAAATTTAAAGATTGCCATACTTCTTTAAGATCAGTGATGAGCGTATCCATCAACTCTTTAGTATGATGAGGGGTCGGTGCCAATCTGAGCTTTTCTTGTCCTCTCGCAACAGTTGGGTAATTAATAGCTTGTATGTAGTGACCTTTTTCTTTTAACAAAGTGTCACAAACTGCGCCACATTGCACTGGGTCTCCAATTTTAATCGGAATGATGTGACTAGGCGTATGCTCCACGGGAAATCCATTATTCAATAAGTTACTTCTTAAATATTTAACGTTTTCCTGATGACGTCTTCGCAATTCTCTTCCTTCATCTGAGGCGAGGATTTGAATTGCTTTATAAGCACCAGATAGTACGGTAGGTGGTAACGAAGTAGTGAAAATAAAGCCGGCAGCATAAGATCTTATCATATCCACTAGTGTTGCAGATGAAGCTAACAAAAAAAAACGAATACATTTTAATGGAATTACTTTCGTTACATCTAATTTTAAAACTAACCGATGTAACCACCAACATTTCCAAACGCTTTCCCCAAAGTACCAGATATTATGTCCATTTTATGAAGCTTTCCATCGCGCTCACCAATTCCAGCTCCGTGTTCCCCGTAAAGTCCGACCGCATGGACTTCATCGATAAAGGTTAAAGCCCCATATTTGTGAGCCACGTCACAAAGTTCCTAAAATACGATGAATAAATAACAATAAAGATAATTAAGCATTCGGATATTACTTCTAAAGGACAAACAGCACCTGACATCGAATGAACAGTTTCAAATGCAACTATTTTTGGAATATTTTTATTAACAGTCTTCAGTAGATCTTCCAAATGAGCAGGATCGTTGTGCCTAAATATGTGTTTTGGTACTTGGCTGTTTCTTATACCTTGGATCATGGAAGCATGGTTCCCAGCGTCGGAAAAGATATGACATCCTAAAATGATGAAAAAATTAAGAAGTCCCAAATAGTCCGCCTTTTGATGATCACGTAATATCAAAGTGATATTTTAGTCGTTATGAAATCTCATCACTCACCTGGCAGTGTTTTAGCCAAGGTAAAAAGAGTAGAGTCATTAGCAACAAAACAAGAAGTAAATAACAAGGCTTTTTCTTTTTGGTGTAGTTGTGCGAGAATGTCTTCCAGTTTTTCATGCAAAGTAGAATTCCCCGAAATGTTTCTAGTACCACCAGCTCCGGTGCCATACTTGTCGAGAGCTTCTCTGCAATATTTAAATTACAGATGTGAAAAAATACTCGAAATGTAAATACTTTGCTAAACAAGCTTATACAAAAATAGGGACCAATGCGTTAAAACTACGTATTCATAAAATGATATGTTAATTTGGATGGAAAATTGTAAAAAATTATCTTACTTCTAGCATCACAGACTTATAAAGAATTGAAAATTCGTATATATAGTGTCCCAAAAGTGTTTGACTTTTGTCATTGATAAATCTATGCTTCTGTACTCAAATATTAATTCTTCCTAGTATTTAAAAAGAGAAAATATGGCCTACTAACAGTCAAATGGAAAGTAATAACTTGGTGCAAATATTTCCGTAGAAACCAAAAAAAGAGAAACTATTTAACTCATAAAATAAAAAGTGGTTTAAAAAATGATACGAAAATTTTCTCTTCTTGTTCTTGTAAAAAAAAAATAACTTTTAATTTTTAGTCAATATAATGATCACTTTTATTAAAAAAGAGCATGAAAAAAAGCAAATTAAAAACAAACAATTTTTTTAAATTTATTTAAAACATGTTGGATATACAAGAAAAAAAGTAATAAAACTCCTCGCAGTAGGGATCTATATGAAACCATTCTAAAAATTAGTTAATGTATCAATTAACAAATTAATTTCATCAGAAAAAACAAGATTTATACTCTTGGACCACACGATCTAAAGAAAATCAGTAACTTAGTATTCACTGCCAATATTTGGCATCGAATCAGCGATTCTATAACGGCACTCGACATTGTGTAACTGTTATCTGATTGAATAATTCTATAAAATTAAAAGCAATGAAACATGTATTAAAATTTGATTACAACTTAAGTTTCAGTCGAACAGCAAAGTAAAAACCCCAAATGTTAACAACTTCAACAATTTGACCTTGATGACGTAAATCAAACGTGACCGGACTTTGTCAATGCTAATAAAGTATTCGATACAGCAGTTTGATTTGTCACCGTTATAGTGCGATTAAAATGTCAAAGAAAGCTATGTCATGCTGATAAGTTGTTTTTTTTCGATTACATAATCACTAATACATAACTGTTTATCATAATATAGCAATTATTAAGTTTCTGACTACATATTAGTCTAATTACTAATTCCAAAGCTGATATTTTTTTCTGTTCAAATCGACTGTGATTGTATTATCAACTTTGTGATAACATTTTTCAAAATTTTGCCAACTTAACTTCAAAATTACAGACCATGCATAAAACAGAAAGTAACATACCTCACAGCCTCTTTAACTTTTGGATGGCACGACATTCCCAAATAATCATTTGAGCACCACACTGTGATAGGTTTTTCACCCCATGAGTACTCTAACGCGTTTGGAAACTGTCCAGGGCCTGCCAACCTGTTAACTTTTTTGAAAACACGGTAACTGTGCTCCTTCTTTTTCTTCAAAATTTGTTGGTGGAAAAAACTGTCATACGAAAATGCTGCTAAAAAACAACTATTTACTTCCGTTTTTAATGTATTCATTACTCACAGTCTACATCATTCTTCATTTCAATAGTATCGTCATTTTTGACTTCTTTAATGACATTGTTAACTTCCTTCAGAAATGGACATGGCGTGTTTGATTTTTGGGTGTCTAAAACTGAGTTTAGTTGCATTTTAAATTTTTACGTAAAACTTGATTTCTACCGTGACTAGCGCTCTTCAAGTCTTCTCCAGCAATTGTGCTCATAGTGCTAGAGACCACAGGACACTGGTTCCCGTACATTTTAAGCAAAAGTGTCCCATAATTTTTAACGTAGTTTTGGCTTAATCTTGTTAGAAATGGACAAGGCATTTTCTCTGAAAATATTACGTAACCTCACTTTCAAAACTTTCTTTTAAATAAAAACTTACCCAATCAGGTATGTGAACGTCGCCTAGTAGTTAAATTGGTTAAATGTTTTAGGTTATTTTGACAATTAGAAAGTGATTTCTGTAGATGTAGGTCAACACCGTCGGTAGGTACGAAGAGCGCAAGAAAGAGATAGCTGAGTTCAAGTGCACTACTCGCCGGTGCGAAGTGAACTAATTATGTTGCAAACGATCATCGAATTCGATACTTCATCCCCTCCTCTATCGACAAAATGTAAATGTGGTTCCAAAGAATTTCTGACAGGTGGCGCCAAAAATTTTGTTTAAAACCTTTTGGTCACAGGTCACACTTTTGTTTTTTACAGTCGGAATGGAAATGTTTGTCAATATGATAATGCCATGTTTTTTAGATAAAACTATGCCGATATCCGCTGCCGTAAAACCGGAAACCCCTACGTGCGGTTAAATATGGCACCCCACAACCGTTTCCAAAAAACAGATAATAAGAAAATAACAGTAGCAGATTTTATCTACTTGGCATTTTTTGTACGACTGGATATATAGCAATTCACGGTTACCGGACTATAAAGGTCCGAATAATCGAGGTGTACCGTATACACCTTACCATAATTTTACAATTTCTTACCTTAATTCAACAAAATTTGTAAACTCAAGTTCTTAAATTGTGGAACAAAGAACGAAATATTTACTGTTACATTAAAAAAAGGTCAAAACTGAAACTTGAAAAATACCTTGCATAAAATAACAATGACAATTTAATATGTAATATACTAATAAACAAAAGCCAGTTCAGTACGATTTAATTATGATAAGCTATTTTTCGCGTATCATGGTGATGTCAATCATTACAAAGCTAAATCATCGTGTCCACTACAGTACAGTAAAAACTTGTACGTATTTTTCAAATTTTCTGTGTTAGCCTTGGCATCAAATTTTAAATCCGAATGATATAAATATAATATACAATTATTATTGATACATTTATTAGCAGCGTATTTTTTAATGAACATGAATTTATCTTGTTTTTCACTGAATTAAACATGGAGTATTCATAATATAACTTCAATTCAAAATATAATAAAACACTTTTTTTAATTTTTTGAATGCTAATAGTCTTATGGCTAGATGCCTTAATTACTGATATTTAAATTCCAAAAATAAATCCATAAGAATGCTTTAAAAATTCTGCTAAAGCATGACTTTGTTAATCTTAGGATCATAATGTGGTTTTATGTAGCTTTTAATATATGTATGTATAGATTTTGACTCGTTAGAGCATTGGTTATGTAAGCAATATTTTAAATCCTCTATACAGCGTGCGCCAGAACTCGCGCCCCAGAGAAAAATGCCATATAAGGTAAAACACCAGGAACATAGAAAAAAATGTTAAAAAAAATATCTATAAAAAAAAGTTATGAGGGTTTAAAGTTTGCACTTTGACTCTGTTATAATAATTTTCCAAGTTTTATTGCTATAGGCTATTAAAAGAGGAAACAAGTAAGCTGTATCCTAAATTGTAACTCTGTTCAATGTTATTGGTGGCTTTTATTGACAAAATTTTTGTCCCTTTACTAAATAATTATAAAAAAAACATATACAAGATCATCAGTATCATTAAATAGATATAAAAAAATGTCAAATGTCAAAATTTTTTGACAGATAGAATTTTTTAAACATTTTTTTCATGTTCCTGGTATCTTACCTTACTTGAAAATTTTCTCTGGGGCACGAGTTCTGGCGCACCCTTTATAATTTACCCCTATTTCAGTAAAACATGAATAATAAACATTCTAGCAAACGTTAAACAAGAATTTGTTTTTTTTTCTGCAACTTGGTTGATATTTACAGAATACTAAAATTCTGTAACACTGTGCGAGAATATTATCACACTAGTGTTAGAATGGTAAGGTAGAGTCATCTTGATATCTTTTTAAAATTTCTGAACTTTATTAGTCTGTGATTTTTAAATTAATGGTGGAAAAAGTATAGTCCGACTCGTTTAGAATGGCATATTCTAAACATGTTACGGAATATACTATTCTTGTATTGGTTTGCAACGAAATTACATTTGATGTTATTTTTTTAAGAGAGCAGTTATAATTTATGGTAGATTGTCAGTGTTTACCTACTTGATATACGAAATGTTAAAAACTCTTATAAATATTTCGAAATGCATTCTTAACCTAAATACAAAAGAGAAAGTTATTGTTAACTTGAAAAATTCTATATTCTATCGATCTATATTTATATATTTTTTAAAAGACACTCAGCAATAGTTTTGTAGAAGCTTATTGTTTAATTTAGACACAGATTCATCTTCGAGAACATCTAACATCATCTTACGATCATGCTTCTTCTATTTTTAATTAAATACTCGTACAGAATATTAACCTGTATAAAAATATTTCAAGACTTAAATATTTAGAAATAGTTTTGTTTTATTAATAACTCAAATAAATAAGAAACTTAAATATAACATTAAGTGTAAAATTAATACAAATGATAACATCATAATGGTTTTATAAATATATTGGGTCAACCTCTCCAATTTACAGTACTATTCAGATGAGGATAACTTATTTAAAGTACTTTATTTATATGATTTAATATTATTAGTTATTACAGTCCTACTTTGTTTTTATCCTAATAGTAACATAATATACTGATTACAATAATAGATTCAAGCAGTTCCGATTCCAATAGCCATACCAGCAACAAAAGAGACTAAGAAAATATGCACTTCTTTAAGTTGGCATTCGGAATTCCCCATTAATCTTGAATACCATGACTTGGCTTCCCCTTGTTTCCTTTTGAAGGTACTTTCTGCTTTATCAACTTGTTTATCCACATATTTTTCGACCTGTTAAAATGTTTGCCTTAATTCAATAGACTTCATTGGAGAGAACGAAATTAAACTACTAAAAATGAAGATAAGCAAATATTGAGCAACAAGAAAACAGTTGTTATCTCAATGTGATGCTACACCAATAAGAAAGCCTCCAATAAAACCACTTGTAAATGGTGTATGACTTTGAGCAAATATCACAACCTAAAATATGTACAAACAGTAATTTCCTTTCCTATATCACCTGATTATTCTTTAAGCTATACAGTAACAACAAACTAGAAAACAATACCTTGTCCATCCAACCTGGAGTTTGACCAGTGACTGTTTCTTCGACTTTATCGCTGACTTTGTCTAGATTTTTTTGTACTTTGTCCCAATTTATTTTGATGTAACCTTTTTCATTGGCTATTTCAAGCAAAATTATTCCTCCTCCTAGTGCAAGGGCTGCAGTTTTACCAACTCGCATAGCCAGAAACCCAGTTACCCTTAAAAAAATTCATTATTTATATTAACACAAAATTTTATTTATAGTCATCAACCATCCACTAGTTGTTCCCAAAGCAATTTGTTTTGTTGCGGAATATTTACTGATGTCTCCAACGAACTTTTCAATAAATGATTTAGCCTTATTCTCAGGATCATCCATTTTTGTAATCTTTTGGTTATTCTGATTTTTTGCAAATTTCTTCAATGGCATCTACAATGAAAATGTACTTTATAAGTTTATAACCTCACATTTTACAAAGCAAATATTTGGTCATATATCACATGTAGACAAGACCCAAGGATGCTGCAGGGAGGAGCAGAATTGACAGGACATAGGAAGGACCAACATCAATAATTATAAAAACAACTTAGTATCAAATCTTAAAATATTCTAATAAGAAAAAATGTTTTATAAATGCATTTTGTACAAATTTCTAGTCATAAACTTTTTTTAAACGTAAAGTACCATGTTCGAAAAGAAGGCCCTAACTGGAAAAATTCTTTGCTGTTTCAAATTTAGCAATTATTTATAGTTAATGACATAGAAGCAGAATAAGAATTACACCCCAAATATGTAGAAAAACCCAAAAGCATACACTTACCTACCTAGTCCGGGCTAAAAACTTCGTATTCCCTTAGAATTCTCTTCGAATAATACTACTAAAAATATTTTCAAAATTCACCAACTAATTTTCTACTTCGCAAAAGCGCCGGTGGACGTCATGAAATATAAATAGTGATTTGACGATTTGAGCTAATCAAGCGCCACATCGTAGCATCTTTTTAAACCATTAAGATTTATTAATAAAAATCTACCCGTCAATAGATGGTGCACGTGTAAATGCTTAGTAAAGTTTTTAAATAGATTTCTTTCTAGGGTCTTTATTGCCTAGTTTTTAAGGCGGGAAACGATAATAATTTTATTAATTACTTGGAATATATCTTACTTCCAAACAATTAAATTTTTTCAGACGTTCAACCAAAACACTTGTTGGTAAATAATGATAAATAATCATAAAAAAAAACAAGTAATTTATGTATTCGGTTATTAGTTATAACAAATTAATTACTTTTGAATAACAACACGCTATGAACCTTTGCTTTATTACTATTTTTTTATCAAAGACAACCCTGTAGCAGATATCTAAATTATCTTTTTATGACAATAGAAACACAACTAATAATAATTTGATGATAGGCATTATCATTAGTAAGTTTTTGTCAAGACTTTTTATAGTTTTATCGAAAGCAGAGTAAAGAAAAATTGTATAGTAGTTGACCCTATTTCAACATTTACTTACACAAAAATTTTAAATATTTAATTAAGCATTCGGATAATGTAGGCATAATTCATTCTGATAAGGTAATAGACGTTGTGACTACTTATCTTAGAAAGGAATATGGTATGTATGTAAATGTAAACCGTAAATTAAAATAATTTATCTAAATTTTAGTCTCAACATTTTTTTTTATCATGGCACAATATAAACGTTAAGATTTTGGAGAAAAAGCGCAGTTTCTGCAAAACAACACTTAAAGAAAAAATAATTTTAGATGACGGTAAGAGCACATGGATTTATCAGACTGAATATATGAGAGATAAATAATTTTTAGTATCAGGAAGTGTTGAAAGTGGTTCTTTAAATGTTATCTTGGGGAACAGGTAGTTTTAACTGTTTCTACGCATTTTTGTATTTGAAAATTTGTAGTGGATGTGGCAAAACTACACTTTTAACTTCTATTTCGGGTCGCCGTAAAAGAAACAGTGGTACCTTAAAAATCAATAACTCGGTAATTTCAGATGAAACTGCAAGGAATATATCAGGATATTTGTATCAAGAAGATATTTTTACTAACAGCTTAACAGTTTTTGAGCATTTACAGTTTATAGTAATTAGAACAAAGTTTATTTTAAATTTATGGTTCTTTTATTTATTCTAGACTGGCTTACAATGCAGTGATAAAAATGAGAAGACGCGTAATTTTATTATCAAACGACAGCTGTCTGAGCTTAGTTTGGAACGGCATGCTGACACTTTGATAAAAAAGTTGTCAGGTGGTGAGAAACGAAGATTATCACTGGCAGGAGAAGTATAGATTAGGTATAATTGTCTTCTCTAAGATAACTGTAAAGTTTTAGTTAATCAGTAATCCTTCTATCTTATTTTGCGATGAACCTACAACAGGACTTGACAGCTATAATGCATTTGTGGTCTTAGAAAAATTAAAGACAATTGCACTTTTAGGGAAAATAGTCTTAGCATCTGTTCACCAACCGTCTTCACAGTTGTTTCACTATTTCGATAACATTACGCTTATGGCCGAAGGAAAAATTATTTTTCAAGGAAGTAAAAACGAATCTAAAATGTTTTTTGAAAGGTAAACTAATGCATTTGATATTCCCGCCGTTATTTAAATTACTGATCATATTGCAATATCCATAAATCTAAATGAGACAAGACAACACATACCTAAATGAAATACTGATTTATTAAACAGTACTTATAACTAAATACATAATACGAAAAGTAAAAGTTGGTTTACTTCGTACCTACTTGCCTACTTCACACAGCAAATGTTTGTAAAGTAATTTTGTAAAAATTTAATGAAATTACTTATTTCCAGAATGAATCTACATTGTCCATATGCATTTAATCCAGCCGAATTTTATATTAACTGTCTCACTCATGGAGATGTTTCTAAAATGGATCTTATGTATAAAAAGGAAAGAAATGAGAAACCACAAGATCACGTACATTGGCCTAACTTTGATAATTTATTTCTAAAAAAGTAAGAAGTACACAATTACATAAAAATATCACTTTGATGAGTTTTAGGCAAACCGCAAATTGTTTTTTTTACGACCTGAAATGGTTGTTATGGAGATGTTACTTAAATACCAAGAGAAACAAAATCGTAATTTTGGGAACTTACTTTTATTCAATGGTAAATATGATTGCCCAGGAAATTAGGCAACGCAACATTTTGAAATGTTATTTTTATTTTTCAGATACAAATGTTTATTATTTCAATGTTTTATTCGGAAGTAACATTTAGTAGTCAAGATGCAATCCAAAACATCCAGGGTTTATTATCCTACTGTGGGACAGAATTTACTTTTACTAATATGTACGCAGTAATTTACATTTTTCCTGAAGAAGTTGCTATATTTTTACGTGAAAAAAACTTATATTCAACTTTTGCGTACTTTGTCGCAAAACTACTGTCTTTGGTAAGCTCAACTTAAAAAAGATATTCAGGTGTTCCACACAAAAAATTCCATTTTTGTCGGAAAACAAAATCTACTTTTTTTTAAGAAAACAGATGTTTACTGAGTTATTCCGGGGACTTATCTGTGGAACAGTTTGTAAAGCTGTCCTGTCCTTGCAAAAAAATAAACTGTGCTCTTATTAACAAAAATTGTTTATAAATTTTACTTTCTTGTTCCAGCTTATAAACAAAATTATAAATTATAAACTAAACAAAAAATAGAATAGTATAAAATACATACAGGATGTTCCGTTTTTATTTTTACAAATTTAAGTAGGTGATAGAATATTCATTTTTAAGATAAAATTTTCCTATGAATCAAAAAATGCTACGCAAGGGAGCTATATCCTCTCAAAGGGGTGCATCTTTATATGAATTTTTTTCAAGATTTCAAGATGTAGATAAAATTACAAAATTTGGTCCAACTGATAACCTTTAGGTATACATCCAAACGAATTCAAAGATAAAATGTCAAAATTTTTACTCAGGAGCATCCTAAATTAGGGGAGCTTAGTGTAAAAAGTACCCTAATTATTTTGGCTGTTTATTCTTGCCACTTTCAGCCACTCAATTCTAAATTTCAATGTTTTTTCCAAAAAATAGGTTTCTTGCGTTTTTTCGATAGAACTTACCGTTTTTGAGTAAAATCAGTTTACAATATGTGTTACAGACCATAAAAAAGATAAAAATTAAAAATTAAATTTGTCTTACCGTTTAAGATGGCCGTGATTAAAAATTTCAATTAGTTCAGGTGTTTAAAAGTTATTAGCTGTACCAACTTTTGTAATTTTATCTATTCTGCAATAGTGGAAAAACCCCATTAAAAAACGCATCTTTTTAAGGGGGTGTAGCTCGCTTACATAACATTTTTGATATATGTTCATAGGAAATTTTTGTATGAAAATTGAATATTCTATCAACTGTTTATACTTGTAACAATAAAAACGAAACACCCTGTGTTTTGTATAATCTTTGTCCAAATTTTGTCAAAAGATATTCTGCAATTATACGAAACATAACTGTAATTGTTTGCCAGTTTTTTTTTGTGAGGAAGGAACAACAAATCTACTTAAAATTATTATCCTAATATTTTTTACGTTTGGCTAACATATTTTTCAGATTCCACTTTCTATGATAACTACAATAATTTGCTTAGGAGTGTTATTTCTATTTTCAAACTTTTTACATGGATTTGGTTTATGGCTTAAAATGACATATGTAGCATTTTTAGTTTCTATAGTTTCATCTAGTTTAGGTATTTACACTTTACTAAAAAGTTTTTTTAGTGCAAACTTTTTATAGGTCTAGCATTTTCAGCAACGTTTTCAACCATTGAACATGTAGACCTATTTTTGGGTCCCTTCGAATTTATACTTCTCCTTTTTTCCGGGTTAATAGTTAAAGTTGATTCTCTGATAGATGCTTTTAACTGGATCAAATATATTTCACCTTTTTATTACGCTTTTGATAGTTTGTCAAATTTGTTTTGGAGAGACGTCGGTAAAATAGGTAAGTAATATTAAAAAAAAATAATTTGTTATAGTGGTTTATAAAATATTCTGTATATTTTTTCTCTTAGGTGAATGTACATTTAATCAGACCATTCCCTGTCATCACAATGTTAGTGAAGTTTTGGAAAGCTATGGCATCTACAAAACTTATGACACTGTGGCCTATGACATCTTGTTTCTGCACATTTTAGGGGCAGTTTTTTGTTTAATGGGATTTGCAGGAATTTTAAGAAAAAAGATTAATCTCTCGCTTTAACAATGTAATGCTACTTTTAGTAAAAGTTGTTTTCGGTAGTGTTATTTACTTTTAAATCAAAGAATATTTTACTTGATACACGAACACTTCGACAGATTTCTCAATCTTCTCTCAAACCAAAAAATAATTTAATAAGATGAATCTTTGTTTCCTTAGTATTTGCTACTTAACTTTACAGAGTTATGTAGTAATTGAAATCATATACAGAGTGATGTGTGATGATAAAGTTATGCATAATTTTTTTTTAGTAAATTAACAAATAAATCTGGCAAATCAGGAAATTAAGTAAGAGTTGTTTTAGTTTTGAGGTATGAGATTGGTTAAAGTACTCCAAACAGAACAGAGGGTTGGACTTAGCTGCACTGTAGAGTGATAGGGATAATGACTCAAATAAAATTTCGTTCGCGACGCATATCACGTGATGTCCTGTTCCTGTCCTGCGACTAGTCTACAAAAGTTAAATTTCACTAGTTGTTTGAAATTCTTGATAACTTAACAAGAATCTTCTTAAGAAAATATAATTTTTAAAAGAAATAAATAAATGGGACATGGCCAAATTTGTGTCTTAATAATTTTGCCTATAAGATAACGACTATAAATTTACTGTTAAAATTTAGTTGCAAAACATATTCAAATATTTTAAGAATGGTCTAAACAAATATATCGTCATCGAGACCTGAAAATTGCATTAAGAATTTCTAATAATGGACAAGGCGTATCTCTTTTATTATCAATGGCCTTCTTAAGTTCTTAAGTTAAGGAAAGAAGGGGATAACCATTCATACCGTTACTTGTGCAGCTGCACTGGGTCAACTTAACAGTCTTTCGATCGACATCTGAAGAGCGGAGTCGATGTGTGTGAGTTGGTGTTTAGCCGTCAAGGTGCTTAAGTGCGTGTAGTGAATGTAGTTATTTTACATAGTGCTGCAATGAAGTGTATCAGTGTATTGTTATTTATAACGATATTTGGTATGTAAATGTAACAAAAAATTGTAAATATAAATAGAACTTAATCCAAGAAAAATTCTCGTAAAAAATGATTTTGAACGGGGATTTATTGCAAAAAATCGAGAATCTTTCCGGAAAATAAAATACTGGATGTTTTAATAATATCAACTTTCTCAAATATGCCATTTCGTTAGTAAAGTAAAACCATTGGCCTGAATTAGTTACACTTACCAGAAAGTGAAAAATAATGGAAATTTATATAGTTACTTTCGAATGACTAGTAAAAATTGAAATTCTCAAGCCATTAGCTTAATGTTTTTGGACAGTTAAAATCGCATTTGCAGGAACTTCACACAAGAGCCTGCAAATCAAGAAATTCGAAGTTGAAAAAAATGTAATATTTAAAATTTTCAACTTCACTTAATCTTACTTGTAAAATATCTTTAGCATGTAATATAGAGGCTTCTTTACTAATAAAATGTAAAATAGTTTTTATTTTCTTTATCAGAACTAAAACGGTGTTAAGCTAAAGTGGTCATCGAGTGGACAATGTGGGTTAGTAGGTTTTGTGTTACAGATTACCGAATCTATATTACATATAAGAACCTGAACCATCTTCGCATTTTTGTTACAGCTAAATTTACTGTGTTTTATTTTAATAGCAATTTACAAAAATAGTTTTTTTTTTAATTTGACACTTTGTGAGGATGGTCATTGGTCATGTAATCATTGTGAACCCAGATCTAGATAAAAAGCGGACTTGGGTTTTCCCCACAAAGTGTAGAAACTTTTACATAATGCAATGTTATTTCCGACGAAATTTGTGGGAAATCGTTTTGGACTACAATTGTGTATAATTTGTATTTTTGTTGTTAAAAAATATAATTAAGGCCAGTGTAACTGAACTTTAAGAAGTTTCTATACAGTTATAAAATATCGACAGGTCATATAACACTGTGGGATCGATCTAAATAAATACTCAGACAGAATTTAAGTGTACAATTTTAATTGCAGGCGGCACATTGCGGTTAGGCCGACCGACCTGCGTTTTGGAATCAGAATTCGGATTTACCCTCAACTGTGCTTTTAAGAAATCTGGCCTGTTTCGAGTTAGAAATCTTGGTGGTGTCAAGGCTCACATAGGCCTGGGTAATCTATCTCTGCTTCATTCATCCTTCATCTGCCATGTAGATTAGCTTAGTAGTAGTTCTTACTTTCAGTAATATTTTAGTATATATAATTCATAAACCAATGTGTAATACAGTCAATCAATATCTTCAAACACTAATCACAGTACATATAATTAATAACTTATGTTAGGTCTACAACTCTATACTATACTAACTGTAGCATCTCCTGTAACTTCTGATGTCATAATTGAAAGTTTTACCTGTAAAGTACACGTGTTGTTGCTGGTCTATAAACTGAATTTCCAAGTTTTACGTTTCATATCTGAATCAAAAACCGCAAACAATTGTTAATTAAGTTTCAACTGTAAATAATGATAACTTATAATGTATAGGTTCATAAGAAAAAAAATATTTCAGTACCTATTCCAGATCGTTCTCAAATTTATTTTTTACAATTGTAGTGTAGTTGTTTGTTTATCTCCAAAACAATGCTTAATAAGCAAGAGCAACCTTACAATGTTTAAATAACTCTGAACATATCAAATTTATCGTAGAGGGTGAGTCATTACTGCAGCGTGAGTATTACCTAAAGTACTAATGTAATTTGCTTTATTATCTGCATCGACTAAATTATTTCGGAATAAGTTCCAGTATTAATATTTTTAACAAATCTACAACATTATTGTTTTTAGATCTCGATTGCGTCGTTACCAATAAGTTTTGACATTTTTGCAAAACTTTGTCTTAAATTATTCTAGCATTTTTATTACCAATAACAGAGTGGTAAATTTTATTTGCTTTATTGTTTGATATCATTTCTTTGTTTTTAAATGTAACAATCTATATTTTTTTACTTTATTCTACTTTACTAATAAATCTTTTTCTTTTGAATAAAACATAATTTAGTTAAAATTAACATATTATAACTAAAACTTTACCTATTACTTTTATTAAGTTATTCAAATTATAATTCTTGTATGCTGGGTTCATCTTCATTTATTAGTATTGTAACTAAGTATTGTTCTAGAAATAACTTTTATTTTAAGTCTCTCGAAAATATTTATACTATCGTTTTAAATATTAAATATAACACATAATCTGCACTAATAAATAAAAGTAGCTCTTTTGAAACGTGTTGGTCAGGTCAGGTCAGGGAACAGAAATTACAATAATTAATCTTTGCCATTTTTTTGATAAATATCTTAGTTTATAAGCCTTTTTCTATTTATTTTTTTTTTTAATCCAAATGATTTATCTACGCCGTTTTTAAAAATTGTAGTAAATTTGGCTTTAATACTACACAAAAATATTACTATAAATTGTTTAATGACAGTCTCAAAAACTAAAATAAACCTAGCTTTAAAATTTGTCTAATACTTTAATTGTTTTAATTTCTTGTTCGATTTATACTCACCTGCTTGGAGTATGGATTACAGATCAATTTTCCATGAACAAAAACACGATTAAACCCGTCAACCAAAAAGTTAGGTGTGACGGGTTTAATCGTGTTTTTGTTTATCGTTTCTATACCAAGAGGATCCAGTAAAAAGTAGATCAATTTTCAAATTAATTTGCAGTCGTTCATTGACAATACAATGATTAACAATTAAAAAAATTAGTAGTCCATTTAATGTGAAAATTGTACTACATATTCGATGCGTGAGAACAAAATTATTATATCTCCATTTATATAAGTGATGTAAGAGAGGCCTAATTAACATTAACGTTTTACTTTTATTATTTTAATTGCTACTTAAAAAAATATATTTTTACGTAGTATTTTAACTATGCATATTTTGTAATTTGAAATTTAATTTAAACAACAGAAATTACTGCAAGAAAGGAAAAAAAAACAACAACCATGCACAGATAATTTTCACCGGAAGTACTGCAACCGGAAATTAAATTGATAAAATAACGGAAAGCTAAAAAATTTAGTAGCATTTGTCAAATAAGAACGTGTGGGTTGGCATTAAAAAAGTTAAATACAATCCTGAAATAATCAGTAATTATAATTAGGTAGGTATACTTAGGTATTTTGGTACACTTTGTGTTATTTATTACTGGACTTAATTGATAAATTTAGATCCAAGGGTTCCAGTAGATATTATTTAAAAGAAAAAAAAAATGTGACAAAAAATACAATAATTAATTATTAATATTTTAGGTTTTACGCATTGTACATATGGTTTTATTTTACAAATTTCATCAACCATTATTATCATCAACCATTATTAGATTTGCTATTGCCGGTGCAAAGAATCTGTTGTTGTGCCCATACTAAAAAACCATATTCTTTTTTGTACATTTTATTTCATCAGTTTTTCGGTAAACGGGTCTAGAGTATATTTTTCTTAAAGTGGATTTATTTTATAATCTCTCATTTAAGTTATAAAACACGCACGTATTTATCTATAAATAATACAATTAATACAAATGCCATCATAGTGAACATAAGTTATGTTTTATTGTGAATGCTCGCACGCAGTAATAAAGGTAATGGCATTAATTGCAACCTGTGATTTTGTCAATGTCAAGGAACTCTCTTTGCACAAAAGGATTAGTTCAGCTTCTCCGTTTCCTTTTAAGTTGTATACGTTTACTCTTAGTGACAATAAAAATAAAATTTTTTCAAAAATAATTTTCTTTTAGAATTTTAACATTTTTTTATTTGGTGCTTTTTTATCCTAGCAACCACTCTAAAATATTCGACGGTTTTATTTTTGTAATAAATGGGAGTTGTAAAATTTGAATTACACCAAAACGGAGTCCAAATAAAAATTTTGAATGCGAACCTAAACTTGTTTGGGACAAACTAAAGGTATGACAATTTCATGATTTCTTGCGGTGAGACTTATAAAAATTGGTGAAAGTTAAACTCCAATTAAGCCATAATCGCACTAGAGCGTTTACCGGACAATATTCTTACTGATTACAAAATTCCTAGCAAAAGTGAATAGAGTTTCCTTAAACAACAAATTTTTGAGTTTTCTGCAAGCTAAAGTTGCTTTCTAAAGTGCAATAAAATTTTATTAAATAAAAATGAAATGCTTTATTTAGGTTTTTCTACATTTTCTTAAAGTTAATACATAGTAATTTATATGTGTTTTTCCAATTTTATTCGTCATTTTGATTACTAAAAAATATTAGAAAGTTTCTAAATTTAAATTTTCAATCCTGTCTGGGTTTCCTAACATAATGAAATTTTATTNAAAGAAGAAGATTCTTTTATAAGTTGTAACATAATTTAATTTCCTACGCATTAAAAAACAATTATTAATAATTTTTAGTTACTACTCTCAGTTATTGTATTGTTTTATTGCAATAACAATTTTATATTTAAGACTGTGAAGTAACTTGAAATTTTAATAAAAAATAAACTAATCATGTCATTGTTGAAACGGTAGACCAGCGCTGTAGATTTTGTGCTAGTTGTAAGCTAGAATAGAAACATTTTGCAATATGGCATGTATTTCAGATAATAATAAATACATAATAAAAGCCCATCGTTATATGTACATCACAATTCATGAACCCTCTAAAGTTTTGCAAAAGAATCTCTTTTGAAATGTCATGCACCAATAAAATACTGCTGAAAAAATTAATTAACTGTTTTACCTTTTGCAATATTTTAATGAAATGCAGGATTGCTGAATACAATTTACAAAATTAAATTTTTCCATTATTATTTTTAATATTAAATGCACTTGCTGGGTTAGTGGTATAAACAATTGAAACGTAAACATTTATTGAATAATACAAGTTAATTCTTCGCAAGTAGACCTGTTAGAAGAAGTTTTTATGTGCAAATGAACAATTTCTAGAAGCTAACAAATCTCTCAGTGTAATTTATAATCTCCATTACCAGATTATAACAGTAAACATATTTTATTTGCTACATCATGGCCTACTTCATTACTATTGGAAAATACAGTTTAGTCAAGAACGGTGCATTTTATAAAAAAATTGTAAGACAAAATTTTCACAATAAAATTTTCTATATACATAGTAAAAATAATGAAAGTATAGTGATAGTGTCTCATTCTCTGTTTTAGGCGTAAAAAACTGCCTTGTATATAAATAACATCTGGAAAGTGAAGAAATCCAGTAAAAAATATAGTTTACTTATATTTTTTCACAACTTGTGTAAAACATATTTACCATTAAAGCATGTGACAGACAAATATTGACTTTATATGTCAGTAAATTTCGTTTACCTAATTTGATTAGTCAATAAAAAATTCTAACATGCTGTGAGTGTGAGCAAAGCAGCAGAGCCAAAGAAGGAGGTAGTGTGGTGGAAATCGTGCAATTCTTGTTCCTATTTTTCATCTTAATTATATAAAACAGTTGGTCTATTTGTGATTTTATTTATAATATATTATTTATAAAAATTGTCAAATAATTATTCTCCGTGAGTAATTATATTATAGAATTAACTAAATGAAAGGATACACGTTCATCGTAAAATTATAAAAAAAAAGTTAAGCAACGTTTTATCTATAACAATCTGGTTAAACAACTTTTACTGTGGTGGAGTTCATCATGAAAAAAATCATAAAAAGCAATTTGTAGGAAATAAACAAGTACCTACATAATACTTATTTTCAATCCTAAATATCTTGATTGCAAAAACTAAGTAAAATGTAAATTTTTTATATTATTTTAACCTTGACTCTTATCTACATCATTTCCATTGCTTCAAACGTTCCTGTCGCGTACCTTTCTGTTATTTTAATCTCTTAATTAATAAAATACTTTTATCACAAAATAAATTTTAGATATAGGGTAGAGTGTAAATACCTGCCTATATACGCATAATGACCTTATTATTATTAGAAATTTAGCACCTTCTTTTAATAATATGTTTACCTTGAATGTTTACGATTCGGTTGATTAAAACTAACCCAAAAATGCAATTAATAATGCATTTGCATAATTTCCCAGTCATCTATAATTGATTGTATTAATAGACAAAGTTGAAGAACATTATGAATTTTTCTGAGCTAAACAAACTTTTAAAATTTTAAAACGATCGAATAAATACTTTTTGACTTTTGTGAAAAACTATATTTCTGAAGTATCATTTTCGACCGTGCGGTTCTGCTTCAAGAATTGACATAGAGAACATGCTATTAAATGTTTCATTAACTTTTGACACTAAACATGTAGCTTCTATCTTTTAGATTGTATTTTTGCGTAAAGTAATTGTTCATTATTAGGTTTTAGTGTTGGAGATGAGCTAGGCTTTAAAGAATCTCTTTCTAATGTTGAGAACAATAGAAGACGATCGGCCCAAGCTTCTCGTTTGCAAGCTGAGTTGATTCAAGCCCAACAAAAAATGAAAGCTGTAAGTGATTTAATCGTTTCTTAAAAACTAATTAATATAGTCCAAGGTTGAAGTTACACAATTAATATTAATATTAATTCGGTCAATATATCTCGTAGGAGAATCAGATCCGAGTTCGTTCACCTTCTGCATCTCTTCCAACTGATCTTTCGAATCTGCAAATGCAAGATCTTCAAGTGAAAAAATCATCTCTTCCTACAATCCCGCCTTTCAAGCCAATACCTCCCGCCCCAGAACGACCGGAAGCCACCAAGTTCAATATCCCTACACCGGCCGTCATGGGTATTGCCGTGCCTGCTCACAACCCCAAGCCTTCGTCAATATCTCGACTATCAACAGGACCTACCCTTCCTTCCGAATCTACTAAACCTAAAGTGATGGCTGTAGTAGTCCCTATGAACAAAGTGCAAACAAGTGATAAATTAAGTAGTACAAATTTTGCATTAAGGACTCTACCTTCGCCAAACAATGAGTTGTCTCCATCTACCTCAAGCACCGTCCAAGCACTTCTAGCAGCAAACAACATCACAGAAGACATGCTGCAAACAGCGTTGCTCCAAAGACAGCAAATGTTAGCGAAGACAAAACCTACAACGACTACTCCGAAAATGAGTGTTGGCAATAAGTACGCCAATAGTGTAGGAAAAGTTATGAATGCACCCAAAGAATATTATCCGGTGGGATATGATAAGAACTTTGACGATAATTTTGCTTCAAGAGTAGAATTGCCGGAAACATCCTTTTATTGTGGGGACCAGAAACACTTCCCGGGTTTATACGCCGACGAGGATCTCGGCTGCATGGTAATATTATGTTGTAGTTATACAACTGAAATGTTTACTTGATGTTATATTAGTATATTACATTCAAAACACAACATTCACATCGGGCTCGAATAAGGTAATTGGTTAGTGTTGCAATAGCAGACCTTGAAATGATTAATTTTTAATACGTTCAATCTAAAGCATTAGAAACACATAGCGTGAAACTTTTATAGCAAATTATGTTTTCGGAAGAATTAATTATAGATTTTCAAATCGTTCAACAATAATCATTGAGAAAAAAGTTGCTTCAGTCTGTAGCAATTTCCATTTGACACAAATTTAAAATAAATGTTTTTTTCGTTCAAATAACTGTAGGTTTTAAACACTGAATTTAGAGAAATGTGGGACAGTTATTTTAAGTTGCTAGATTATGCAACATGAGTAATGACAAAAACCCATCGGTGAATAAAGGATAATTTTATTTAGTTTTTATAAGTCAATGGAACATGACATGACCCTTGGCCTTATCGACTCATTGTTTCTTAATAAGTTACAGCACACTTACATTAACCTTCTACAAAGTATCCTCGATTTTCTCCAAAAACTTTCTTAAACTCATAAAATTTAAGAAAACATATGAAAAATTATTAAAAATTAACTATAGTTAAAAATAAAAAATATTACGGTAAAGAGAAAGTATGGCTAAAACTAAGATGTAAATCCGGTTTAGTAAACATATAAGGTGCAAATAATAAAAGAAGGTCATGAATGTTTAACAGGTAAAATTCCCTTTGTTTCAGGTATTTCACGTTTGCGCTTTAACCGACGATGGTTTAATTATGAAGAGCTTCCTTTGCCCGGAATCCACATTGTTCGACCAAACAATACTGAAATGCAATTGGTGGTTTTATGTCGATTGCAAAAATTCGAAGAAACTCTACGATTCCAATATACCCATATCGAAGAGTTATCAATTAATGAAAGCATTAACATTTTTCTCTGGATATAAAAAAGATAGCGCAACGACACCTAAATCAAAAGATAAAGACTGACATTTTTAAAATTTATTTGTAGAATAATCAATTTTTGTTAAGTGTTAGCAAGGAGGTACTGTCTACTAAAACTAAAGTAAAGCAAATAATTTGTTTCCTAATAGAACATTTATTAATGTTACAGTGTAACAGGTTTCCCCACTTTCACATTAATGAAAGCATTTGATTTAAAGCAGATCAAGCGAATCATCATATTTATCCATTGGTTAGAAAACTAATAGTTTGTGTGTTTAACAGAAAAACTTTCATTGCCTTGAAAATTGTATAATAAATAACACGTGATAATGCTAGAGATTGATTTTAAGTATTAATAGACTGTGAGTTGCCTTCTCCTTGTTTAACCTAAGCTCAATGTAAAAATCTAAGTCTTATTTATTGTTACATAGTGGTTATTAGATACTTACTTAGCTAATTAAGATGTTTATCAGATTTAAGATTAATTAGCATTTTTATAGGTTGATTTATCTGAAATCATTATATACTCGTCTGATTGTTTTATTTGCGAAAATGGCACATCTAATATGTGTTGTGTCCAAGTGGCTGTTTACTCGTCTAGTGAGATAAAATTTTCTATTTTCTTAGCAGGTTTTTTTTTTACAGAAGGAGTGCGTTTATGCAAGCTGCACACTGAGCACATCTTAGTAAATAAGAAACTTTTATTGTTTATTGTTTTTGAAATATATTTTTTTTCAATCCAAATTAAAACAGAATGTAAACCACAGAACGAACAAATTTAGTTTCACACATCTAGTCAAACATTTTTCATGTTTTAGTCTTCTCCTTTCTCTCTCTTCCTCTTTATTAGATCAAATTTCAATAAAGAAAATCTTAATTTTACAAGTCAAGTAAAATTTAAAAATTTATAAAGCTTAGTGAGTTACTAAATAGAATTTATCTGACTAGACTTTTAAATAGTCACTGCCATTGTGTATTCACTACAAAAGCAAACTGGGGGTGCATGACAATTTTCTATTTAGATTTATTATTACAATATAAAATGGTTAGGTTCCTCCAAGAATGTTTTTATCGTATTGTTATTACCAAATATTTATATTTTAAATTCTCATGTTTGGGGAGTTTCAGTGAATGTTTGTTAATACTTTTTGTATAACGACATTTTTTATTGTTGGTAAATAAATTATTTATTACATTTCTTAAAGCAGTGTTTCATTTAAGTAAAATTAATTGGTTAATTTATTAAAATAGTTTGTTCGTCATTGGAGCTTTTGTAACAGTCTAGATAATTTTGCAATATTAAGAAATATTTTCATTATGTATTGATAATTTTTAAGCGGTAATCTCCTAATTTTAAAGGTTAACTCTCTCTTTTAGTGTGGCGTATGCCATAAAGTAAGACGACATTGATGTTAGACACTTTTAAGCAAGAATTATTAAATCATGGCTAATTTTACTAGGATGCTAATAATAGTTGCTTCATTTCCTACACCTTGAATACAAACGATAGAGTAGAAAGAATCTTTTATTTATGTAAAACAGCCCAAATAAATATTCTTATGTTAAAAATTTATATTTAACAACAGGTAAAAAAATTCACAAAAAATTAACTAGCTCCTTTACTTGCTGTAGTGAAAGGGGTGATAAAAATTGTCTTCAACGTATGCCACATTGCCTTCAATCCCTTGAATATATTTCCCTGCACCACCCCCACCGCTTGCTCCTTTGCCCCCTTGACCGCCGCCTTTACTCCCCTGGCCGCCTGAGCCCCCTTTTCCAGCGCCCCCGCCATTACTCCCTTTCCCAATTGATGGAGGCGGGGACGGAGCACTTTTCGCTAGGTCGGCGGCAGCTGCTGCTGCTGCGGCGGCAGCATTAGCAGCGGCTGCTTGAGCAGCAGCTTGCGCTTTCTGTGCCGCAGCTCTTGTTGCTTCGAAGTCAATGCGGACATTTGCCAATTGCTTACTTAGCTGATCCACTCTTTGCTTCGCTGAACCGACCATCGACTGCTGCGCTGCGAGTTCCCCAGCTGCCTCGGAGGCGGCTTGGGTCATATGGTCAGCATTGGTTTGAGCAGCGTTCAAAGTGTTGGTGAGGACGTTAACATGGGCACGAGCTTCTTGAGCTGCACGCATTGTTGCATCGGCGGAACGTTGAGCCTGCATCAATTGCTGTTTTTCACCCATTAGTGCCGTTTGGGCATCTCGCAGTTGCTGCTCTAGGCCTTGGAGGAGTATCTGTTTCCCGGCTAAAGCAGCTTGGGCTGTTGCAGAGGCCTGCAAGAAGTGTGTTTTACATTGCAAGATAAAAAAACATAGGTATTTAAAGTTTTGAACACACAATTTTGAAACATTTCGGATAACCTTGGATACTATATTTATTCATGAAGAAAAATCAACTATCACTGGTTACAAGAACAGCAAACTCCAACATATGCCCTAGAACCGCAACCTCAAGAATTCAGACAGTGTTATGTTACTCTCTTTTAATATGAATAAAGTGAGTAACGGCTCATACCAGGGTGCAAAAAAAGTACGAAACGATTTTTTTGTATTTAAGAGGAACCCTTTGACTGATCTGACAGTTATAGATTGCTCTAAAAGTCGCTTTAAAAATAAGTTTTTTTTTCTTATTTAGAAAAGATCTCGTTGGAAAGACTACTCTAACAACATTTTGAAATACTGTGGAAGAGCATAAAATTTAGCGTTTCTGGCAATTTGCAAAACTAGTTTTTATAGTTTGTTCGAAATAAAACGACAAAAAAATATTTGAGTATCTTCACTTTACTTTATTTATTATTAGAAAAATAAAACTGTAAAAGATTTACAACATGCGACATTATACATCATGTAAGGTGCTATCTCTAGTGGTGTTTCACCAAATCATCAGGTTCATTATAATAAAAGTTTTAACTTTAGTTAAAAATAATAATAAATAATAATATTTATTGTTTAAACAAACTACTATTTTTCTTAAGTTCTTTATCAAAAAATTATGTATTTTTATTTTAGACATTGGTTATTATTTCTTTTACTAACAGCCTGTTCAGAGAATTATTTTCTCTACGTTTCACGATTAAAATAACTGTAATACTTTTATTTTTTAAATAATTTTCAAAATCACTGAATCGACTCAACAATGAACAGCTGAACCGAATACCGAGTACTATAGTGATGTTGTAAATTTAAAAGATGTTATATTATGTAATCTGATCTCACCTCATCAAAATTTAAAAATAACAATCGTATTAGAATATATTTAAAAGATGAGAAAAAAAAGAGCAAAATATTTTGTTTCTAGAGTAATGAAAAACGGAAACTTTAATAATAAAACGAAATCTAGATACGTATTTCGATAACCAAGTTGCTGGTCACTAAGATCATAATCGATTATAAATCAGATTAATCACTTAATTAACAAGGCTTGACGTTTTGAAATTTTGTTCTTTTTGATTAGAAACCAAAAATAAATATTACAAATTCTGTTTAATGTACTACTATCTAAAATTTTTTTCAGAAATCTAGAACAAAAAAAATGTTCTTAAGAACGCTCACATATGTGTGGTAATTACGTTTTTATAACACTATAATAAGATAATAATAACAATAAAGAGATTTTAATAAGAAATGACTGGTTTCGTACGTTTCTTCATGTTTTATTATTTGCTTAGTAGATATTAATTATAATTTGCATTCCAAAACTTTCTGATTTCGTGTAACCTTCAAGACTAACAATTAAAAATTATTGATTTTTTAAGTATACAAATTATTAATGAAAAGCTTTAAATAATATTTTATTTTGTCAAGTTAATAAAAATTAGAGGTTTCTTTTCATCAGTTTGTTTCCTTGTACTCGATGGTGACAAATATTTAAAAAATACCACTCTCTTCTTGTAACCATTTCTAGTATTTGTGAAATTACGGAAGTCATTACTTTTTCGGAAAAAAATCTGTGACAAAAGATTAAATTCTTTGGTTTTTGCGAGTGTATAATATCTTAAAAGTTAAAATGTATATTTTTACACATATTACACAAATTTAATGAGTTTCATAACAAGATGGAAATGCAAGAAATGCATCAGTCATCGCCATTAAAGTCAGGTTTATCTATGGTGTCCTTAAAGTAAAAGTAATTCGTCGAGACAGTTTTTAACAAACTTTCTTTATATCAATTTGCATTAAATCATGCAGAACAATAATTCGTAATAGTATAAAAAAATGATTTAAGTAATAAGTATTACAAAGCGATTTGTTAGACTTATAAAAAGCTTAGAATAGGTATGCATTTTTTCTTTCCAAAATTTATAATTCTAACGTTCACCAAATTTTGCAACAATTAATAGACAGTAAATTTACAAACATGTGTTGCCGAGTGTGCTGCTTAGCCATTTTTTCAAATGACTAGATTTGTCACACATGACAGACTTGTATGATTTATTTAGCATTTAAGTTTTTGAGTTTTAGAATTTTGAACGAATCTGTGAAATCAATTGTTTTTAAAATCAAAGCAATTATTTAAATAAACAAATAGTAGGTAATATATAGATGACCTTAACTTTCAGACATTTTTTGAGCTTCATGTATTTTGTATTGTCTTACCCCAGCTGCGGCTTGCGCCAAAGTATTTTTGGCTACAAATGCTGCTTGATGACCTGCAGCATCCTGATTATTGACGGCGTCATTGGCTGAATTGAAGGAACCTTCAGCGATACTTCTTAAACCACTGCCTGCACTAAATCCTAATTTTGTTTGGCCCTTACTGCCTCCACCGCCTGATGCATCAGTTAATGCACCATATTCGTCATAATTGTTGTACAGTTCCAGCTCTTCATACTCTTGAGCTAAGCAACTAGCTGCTTAAACAAACAGAACGTACCACATAAGTAAATAATTTAAGAATTATTTTTTTAAATTTAGAATGGAAAGGCCAAAAAGTATTATTATTCTTTCCTAAACAGAACTTACTTATTGAGAACTTACCGGAGAGTGCAATGGTTAAAAAGAAGAAACGCATCCTGTCCACAACACTAATCAATCCTAAAACATAATTTGATGATCACGTTACACTAAAAAAACACAACCCCAAAACACACCTGCCAAATTAAAACAGCTTGATATATAGTCATTGATGAACTGTCAATGGTGAACTGTTCCTTCTAAATTTATAGAAAACCCTCGAAATAAGTAGAGTAGGGGGCGGCAGTCGAGACAAAACAGGTGAAATAAGGAGAACAACAAAAAACAGAGAAAACTGTATCAAATACAATCAAAATATATATCTTACTGATCTTTTTTAGGAAGTAATAACCGCGAAATAAAACCATTCAAGAATCGAATTGATTTATTTTAGTTACTTTGCTTTTTTAAGATTGTTGGCTTATTAATGGGGATAAGATACGGTCAATTCTTTTGGCTTTGTTAGATTTCTCTTTATTAAATAGTTTTGCGATATTGTAATTTTGTAGTTTTGGGACCAGTTATGTAATAACCGAATTTAATGTGTAACTATTTCATAAAACAATAATGTTTTTTACATTTGATATAATAACTATTTGTTATCAAAAAGTCTAACAGAAATGTAAATCATAGTCTATAGTTTAATTTTAATTTATTAAATCCTGATATCATCTAGTTTTACTATGCATATTGTGAAGGTATTAAGCTGGTTTGAAAGCCTCACTTATACTATAGGACACGCGAGTGGAAGCTGGTTCCAGCAAAAAAAGTTATAATTACATCACAATATTTGGCGATTATTATGAAAAGGAAGGTGAAATTTAAATTGAAAAAGGGAAATTACAAATCGAAGAATTACTCTTACTGTAACGCTACAGTTAACATTTACAATTAGAAAAAAATGATATTGTTAAAAATCATCAATTTATCAACTAAAATTTCAACGACATTAATTTGAAACTTTATACTATAAGCCTTTTTCAGCCAACAAATAATTTTTTGCTTGAAGAATATTTTAAATTTATTTAATACAAATATAAGGCAAAGGAATGAAAAAAACACTTTGAACCAGTAAGACACGAAACTTATGAGAGAGTTAGAGTGTAAAACTGATTACTTCTGGGTTTTCTCGAAAAGTAATCTTAGTTGAAAGTAAGTATTGAAGAAGAAATGAACAGAAAAACAGTCTAGAGTCTAGAGTCTAGAGAACAGTTTATTCATAATGAATAGGTACTTTTCGACGGATATGAATGAATAAGCTGTAAAAGTAGTTTGCTCTAAACATTAATAGAAAAATGCCTTTGGTTGAATTTATGTCTCAAAATAGTGTGGAACGAATCAAATGTAAGATAATGATTATTTTAATGTCTCAGGCCACAGATCTTATAGTATACTATATGATAGGACCTATATGTAGGGTAATCAAACGTAGTTTATTCCCTGTGGGGGGGTCCCAATATGATTGCGATATCGCTATGCCAACATTGAATTCATCTCGTCTGTCTGTATAGTTTTTGTTTGGGTTTTTATTTGTAGTTTATACCTTTTCAACCCTACATAGTTTTAGTATAGGAATTTAGTAATTCAATATTTTATCTATTGATATTAACTAAATTTAAAGACGGAAGTTGCCGTCTGAATGGCGAACACGTATACGAAAACAATTTATTTCTAGTTTTATTTGCTGTGAACAAAATTCAAAATCGGTCAGATCAGATCAGAAAATACGTGTTCAGAGATATGCCTTGTTGCAAGTGTTTGTGTGAAATTATTTAATTGGTGGTAAGTATACTTTTTCAAATTGTCTAAGGATTCTATAAGGTTATATTGCACCAGTAAAATATTTTAACTGTAATAATGAGGAAATTACTTACCGCTTCTGGTCCTTTTAGCAAATACCAACAAAAAAATAATAAATCCACCACAACAATAAATGTAAATTTATGATGATGGCACGGGTCCGGCAGTAAACCCATTGTGATACGATTGATTTCTGTACAAAAGACCTCTAATATAACCTCAGACAATTTGGAAATGAATACTTTATTAATTATGTTGCTGTTTGGTTGCAGTTTTAAAATTAAATATGAGTAGTGCAGTTAGAGTTAAAAGATATAGATTTTTACGAAAATTACAACAGAAAAATATCAATAATAAAAAAACAAAATCTTTATTAAATGAACACAATACGTATATCTAATAGATAATTTTGAATTTTCAATAAATTATAATCTAAAGATAACCATCGAGTTACCTCTCGTACATCTAAGCTAGAAGTACCTATTGTTTTTAAAAGTATGAAATAAAGTATGTAGGCACTTTATTTTTCGTAAGCTAAATAAATAAAGTAGGTATATATAGCTATTTTATTTTTCGTAGCATTTGCGAGATTTACGTTTAAAATTTTAGGCATAAATCAGATGACAACTTTCAAGTTGATACCTTGAAAAAAAGATTCAACTTTTAAACTTCGATTTTAGAAGAATTACTATTCATTGAACTTGATAAAATTGAGTGTACCAAAAAAAGTCGTAATAAACTTATTCGTAACTTGAGAATTAAATAGAATGAACATAGTACAGAATCTCAGGATCACAGTCGTGAATACTTTAAACTGCTTCGGAAACAAAAAAAAACGTTCTTCGTAATTGCTCTGTGGCGCTTCTGGTCTAATTTATACGTTGCATATGTTTGATTACTTATTAAAAACAAGCAACTTTCAACCGTAGGTATTTTGAAAAAATCTTTCATTAAAAAAAAAAGTTACTTGAAAAATAAAATAAGTAAACACAATTCTAACTAGAAACTTTATATAGCAATAGCAAATTAATAGTATGTTTTTATTTTTTCAATAACGATGGTAGTAACGAAAAAGCTGGTCATAATCTAACACATTGTAAAATTTTGCCTATTATTATATTTAAAATCACTTTGTAGAAAAAAATTATTTTTTCTTATATTTGCTTATACTATTTTTTAAATTATTTGACATTGTTTTCTCTGAGATAATATTTGAGTAATTTTATTTGGTTACACGCTATAAAAATGCGTAGAATTTAAAAAATGGCGCTTGTCTTAATCGACGCGCGCATTATTTGACAGTTGTTAAACACGCATATTGCCGTAAAATGTCAGTGTTGTAATCTGAAAATCTGGTTACAAAAATATTATGGAGTTAATTTAACGCTAAGAAGATAGGCACATGTTTTAATATAATGCATTATTTGGAATAAAAGTAAATAGTACGTAAACAATTTGTAATTGTTAGTCAACGAGTAAAAGACATTATCGTGTAACCTTAATTGTCATTCATTCCTTGGACAATTTTGTGTGCAATATAAAAAGTGTTTTGTTAAATAATATAATATAGCCCAAAATTGCTTTAATACATTTATATATAATTTCAAATTCCTTCCAACAACTTCATTAATCAGTAAGTGTTATTGTTATTGCTGTCTTAGTAATAAGGTAAATTTACTTTGTTTATTGTTATTTTTTATTAATAATTGTTTTTATAGGAAAAATAATGATTCTAAATAAATACATCTGATGCCCAAAGCACATTTCTGAAAGAAAAGTGGTTTTGTGTACACTCTCTGAATATCATATGTCTAAGTGATAATAAAATTATTATGGCATCCCAGGAAAATAATGTATATTTGGAAAATATTGTCGGTAGGCGTTTTATTTTTTTGATGATTTTTTTTAGATTATTTCGGACTCAGGAGAGAAGTTGTCTCAACAGCAAGAAATATCTGATTTAAAGCTACAGCTAAATGCATCGCAACAAACTATAGCTAGCTTAGAATTAAAAGTGAGACAAAAAGAAGAGGTTATCATAAAAACTCAAGCAGACTCAATAAAGCAAACTCAAGCGCTGAAGTCTGACATCAAAAAATTAAAAGAGCAATTAAAGGAGACGTCTAAAATTATAGAAAACAGTTCTACATCAGAATTACAAGAGGCTCTTAAAGCAGCCGAAGAAAAGGCTGCGAAGGCTTTAAATGATCTCCATGACAGAATTGAAAAGGATCAGAAAATGAAGTAATATAAAATTATTATTTCTATGTAGTGTAAATAATTCTGTAATATTTTTAGTCAAATTTTGGAAGAATATGAAAAAACAATAGCAAGTCATGATACTGAATACAAAAAACTGAATGACCTACATGAAACTGTTAAGGGTAATTTGGCAACTTTGGAAATGGCATTCCATGACGTTATTCAGTTGGTTTTTTTTTGTTTCACCCATAAACAACATTAAAGCTTTTATTTTCAGGAAATATGAACGGGCCAAAGCTGTTATTGAGGGTTTTAAGGCAAATGAAGAGGTTTTTAAAGATAATATTGAAAGAATGGAAAAGAATCTTAAAATGGAAGCCCAAAGATACGAATCTCTCAAGGCTCACGCGTCAAAACAAATAGAAAAGTATGACATAAAACAAACGAATTTATTATTTATTTGTTTTTATTTTAGAGCAAATAAAGAAAATATTTTCTTAAAGAGTCAGTTTGAAACGTTAGAACTGAAACAAAATGCAATTATTAAAAGGTTGGAAATTAAAACTGCAGCGCTGGAGAATTCTTTAGAACAAAAAACAAAGGAGTGCGAGGAACTGGCAGCGTTATGTGATGAAGTAACAGGCAAAAAAGTGTAAAAAGTAATTAAAAACTACTAATGATTTATTGATAACTCATTATTTATTATTTTAATTTGTCCATTATTTTATTATCACTAATAATGTGATGTTTAATTTACTTAAGCATATTAAAGATCTATTTTAATTGGTAATTTTTGTAAACATTTTAGCTGCTTTTTTGAAATAGACATGAAAAACATGTGTATTTTTGATTTCCTTGCCCCCTAATCATTCCCCAGTGTTCGAATGGCTTTAGTCTCAATTAAAGGAAGACGTGGTAACGCTAACTACTGTAATTTAATATAACTATTCTATTCCAATACATCAAGAGATCAACATTTTTATAAACCTCACCTTTGCATATACAGGGTGAATATAAAGTATGGAACCAAGCGGATTTATTTAATCATTTGCCTCCAGAAAATAATAATTAATATAAATTAAAGTAATATAAAAAATGTGATCGTATTTTCAGAACGAAATTTTGTTTTGTTTTTGAATTATGCGATTTTTTTTTGTCAAAATTGCAATTTATGTGAAAAAATTAAAAAAAAAAATTAAATATAAAGCAGATAGTTGTAATCCTTAGAGTATAGCTTTTATGAGAAAAAGGATTTTATAGTGGGTTGCCATTTAAAAAAATATTTTTTTTTTGTAGAACTCAAAAACAAAAGGAAATTTCGAAAAATTTTATTCTTGTTAAACCATTACATTTTTATAGTACTTTATCACTCATCAATTAGTTTTTTCAAAAAATAAATAGTTTAAACAAGAAACGTTTGGTTCCATACTTTTTATTCACCTGGTATAAGAAAATTTTAGTGTTTTTTTTAAACGACTTTATAATTTTGAGATTAAAATCAAGAGCTATTTTATCCATCTGAAGTAAGCGTAATTCAGAATTTTAACAGAATTTTAAACATTTCCGAAGTAGTGTTTCTATATAAATTTTCAACACAAAGTATTTTCATGTATTTCTTCTTGTTGTAATGTTGGCTGCATACGTTACATCGAGTTTTAAATTTAAATGCCAGTGCAGGGCCAACATGGCGGCATAACTTATTTCTTGTTTTAAATTTTTGAATTAATTTATTTTTATTCCCTGACGTACTGACTTTTTATCGATTTTAAATACGTAGTTTAGTGTAATTTTGGTGTTTCGTTTTATCTATTTTGTTGCTTCTGTTGAAGGTGGTTGATGCTGTTTTCAGTTGTGACACTGAAAATGTAAAGTATACAATGTAAAAAGTGTTGGTGAAGTACCAGGAGAAATCGTCTGTGATTTATTTGTAAAGTACCAATCGAATAACCGACTTGGAATGTGAAGAAATCAACAAGATCAGCGTTAGATATCGTTACACTCGTGTAAAGGAATGGAACAGTACACGAGTGCGAGTTCTTTGTGTCTTTAAGACCAGGGGGCGAAACTTGTAAACCACCAGACGGCGCCACCATCGATAACGCCAAAAAATATTTAGAGGTCATAGAAACCAAGAAGGATGTCGATGGAAGGGATGCTCAGAGACGAAAACTGGTCGCGGACGAATCCATTCGTAAATATAGGGGAGTTCTGAAATTAGCTGAGAGCAGTGGCGTGTATTCGCACTTATTTGTTTGAACAAAACATAGGTATAATCCATATACTGTAATGAAAATATTTTATTTTTATTACTTTATTACTAAATAACATTTTTAAGGCATTTGTTCTTTTATAAATTGCAATATTCAGTAACCATTTGAGAAAGTTATTAGAAATTGTTCATCAAGGTTTAAAATTATTACACTGGCGAACACGGAATTTTGGACATCAAATTTATGTCAGTTCAAAAAATGTCAATGTAAGCCACGCTTTATTGTCATTATGATTGACATTTGAAACTAAAATTTGAAAGTTTTAATTGAAATTTAATTTTGGCGTCGATTTTCCGAAACAATAATGCCAGCAATACGTATTTTAATATAGGTTCAATAAATTATTGATTTGTTGTCATTTTTCTCTAGCAGTCAAGATAAAAATTGCAAAAACCGAAAGTGAGGTTTCCGTGTCCGCCAGTGTATTAAAATTCTTACATCTTATTGACTAGATATGAAAACAAAACATTACTAAAAAATGTTGAATATACCTACTTATTAACAGGGGCACCTTATAAATGTTAAAAATTAATTAAAATTAATTATGATACAAATATTGTTTTTTAATATGTCTATATTTTTAATAAACAAATCTATTCGTTACTTTTTGTTCGTCTTTTATTTATACAGAAATTAATATCACCGTATATCTGAAATAATCGTGGAGCATCGTATGAATTTTTTATATTTAATATCTCCGTCAATGAATATACGAAAAAAAATGTAACTCTACAATTCCCTTTTTATCACAGAATGGTTCTGTGTTACGCCACTGCTCAAGTTTCCCCACTACACCGAGTACGCATTGGCTCCGCCTATCGATATCCTTCTTGGTTTCTATGAACTTTACCAAGTTTACGTATACAAATCTTTTGTTACAACACAATTCTGCCCTAGAGATGTAACTCAAACGAAAGAATAAATTTTTATCTTTAGTTGAGGTAATAGGAGCTGGAGCTCTTCTGGTTTACTCGACACAGCATGATTTCTGAGGTACTGCACTGTATGTACAACAAACGCCTGGCTGCACCAGCATTCGATAAGGTTTTCCCGTATATCAGCACCATGTCTGTTAACTCCCGATTAGTGTACTGCACCCTTTTTGACGATAATTACGGGAAATTCACTTGCCAATAAATTGTAAACACGACCGCATGCAGGTGAAGGACGTGACTAAATTGTGTCAATAAGTTTTTGCAAGACCTATCTGCCTGGGTTTTTGCCGTATTTACTTTTTTTGCGTACCGTGCCATCCATAAACGACTCGATGACACGGAATACGGTGAAAATAAATGTAAGTATAAATTTGAGTTTTCCAAAAAAAATGGTAAATATAGAAGTAATTTGTTTTGATGAGTTCTATCACCGTTTAAAGTTTCTTAACGCATTTCAATACCATACTGTATAAATCCACGTTGTCACTGACGTATACTACAAAGTAACATTTACTTCTTCCTGTAATATTTAACTGCCCCTGGATTTGATAAAAATATGGATCTCTTCGTTTGAGTCTAATAAAACTATTCATTTTTTCTAAACAAAATGGCTTTTTATTTTTTTTTTTCATTTCGTCGATTATTTCTGCCCATATTATTTACTTTAAAGGAGCGCGCTGAGTATAAAAACATTTGACTTCTACAATGGCATCGTCATATATAATCCTGAACAAACCATCAGGTGATGCACCCAAAAAACCATTATCTAAGTCGACCCACAATCCAGACGAAGTAACTTTCAAGCTAGTTTTTAATTCGAACAAACGAAGAGCTACTGCCTCTTTAGCAATACCATAGTCTGTTGAAGATGAAGAGAAAGACTGCTTTTCCAGTATAATTTTTGCAAGAGAATGACATGGAGTATGAGGCAATCGATTTATAACTTTTCCAAATAGCGAGGCTGTTAGACGATATCTTCTTTCTGTCTCGTGTGGACTGTTATCAAATTGACCCACCGAATTTATTTGTATTCGATCTCTTTCAATTGCCGATACCTTCAATTTATTTAGTAATCTGTCACACTCCATCGAAATAACAGTTCTATGTCTTCAGCCTTTGGTTCATAATCCAAATTATTATGGGGAGATCGTTGTTTGGTCGAAGAAAAAAGTTTTCTGTGACAACTCGACTTTCTATTTTTTTTCGAAGAACTAGACATACATTTTTATAATACTTTCCTTAATAGGTAACATGAAAAGCCCACACTTACAAATTTCGTAGTATATCTACCTGGACTTGTTTTTGTTACTCTTTTCCAAGGACTAGTTGGCCACTCAAAACTTCGATTGTACCTTAAACCCGAAAGATGAACCCTTCTCTGATAGGAACCACGTTGAATCAAATTTAATCTTATTTTTTCCCATATTGAAACGATACTATATTCACCAGTCTTTCGCTTCTATTATTATTCTCATTCTCAATCAATAGATGAGCCTTGCGAATCAAAAGATCTATGGAACCTAAATAAACAGAAATTAACCACCAATTAAAGATGTTGTTATTTTACCGCTTAAATGAAAAAATAAGTTAGTCGCTTTCAATGTGGGAATCAGATTGTTATATTGGTCGCCAACAGAGTTACAAATGCCCTCGAGGCAACGACTGTGGTCTCCAAAAACGTGGTGTAAACCATATTCAAGATCCTTGCGAAGGAGATTGATGTCTCTGTCTCTGTCACCGTTCGAATGTTCATAAATAGTACATTTGGCACGTTTCTAGAGAAGAATTATTTTGCCCTTGGTTAACATTTTTCGTCCAGTAAGGTTAATGTATTTGTCTTTTTTAATGGCGAACAGTCGTTTACCATAATTTTTCAACGCGTGATTTGTACATTCAGATTTTCGAATGTCTTTACTATAGGGCACTTTTTGTCTCAATTTAGCAAAAACACTAGAGTCTCCATCAGCAATAAATTTTAGGTAACGAACTCCGTGTACTGGCACTGGCAGAGAATGCTTCTACTGCCATATCAGCTTCCATAGCTGGTGCAGAGTCATTCTAATTTTTATAGCAAACATGTTCTTTGGGAACTGAAATTTTACCACGGGCATATGCGCACACAGAGCAAAATTTATTACGCACTCCCACAAAAAGTAACTCTCCAGTATATTTACCTACAACTTTAAGCATACCAGACAGAGCATTGTAGTTAGTACCATAAGAGCGTTTGCTCCAAGAACCGTCTAAATATACGGTAATCCATCTTCAGTTAGTAGGCAATGGCCTACTTCCAAAGCATATTGTTTCTCTTTACAACCAGCCGAGACTTCCATAGCGATTCTTCCCATTGCTGAAACGTTCTTTAACCTATTTAATAAAAAAATAATAATAATAATACCTTTCCCAATTCTTCTTCTATGTTATAAAACATTTTATGTGGCATCGTGGGAATATTCATGCAGCTTAAAAATTTGGTCATATGGCTATATGTTGATCCAGTTGCCATGGTACCCCATACAGCTCCAATATTAAGTACCGCAGAACCTTTAGGATTTTCCGTCTCACAAGAAAACGTTTTTTCGTAAACTGTACAACTCAACACAATTTCACTAACTAAACCTTTTCCTCGACGCCTCTCTCCTTTAACAATTATTCTTCCTAAAATACACACTTTGGCGTGTTCATATTGAATAGGAATGACCCAGTTTAAAATATAGTACATTTCAACTATTCTGAAACCGTCTATTATATTAGATTTTGATGTTTCCCTTTCTATTATAACAAATCAGTATCCATAATACTGAAAAAGTAATAAAAAATTAACCTATTACTAATAACATTTTTTTTCACTTATACTCTCTACACTCCGTTTCAGATATTATCCCATATGCAGGTTGCCTATGGCGTGCACCAAGAAGGAACGCTGAAATGTAACAAGTATTTATTTTCTAAATTTTCTAAACACCTCATTATGTAAAACACCCACAAAACTTAAAAAGTGTGTGAAACACAGGCCTTTTTATACAAGTATTTACACTCTGGAAAGTATCCTCATTGTTGGCAGTCGTAGGAGCAGCCTCTAGATCACCTGTTTGATAATTATTATCTGACCTGATTTCTATGGAAATTCTAAAACATAAATATTTCCTATGCATTTATAAAAATAAACCATATTTTCTTACGACTTATTATTAGCTATCAAATGTGCAGACGGCAAACCGTCACCTAGAGTTTCTTCCGCATCATCTACTGTGATGTTATGGAAATTATCTTCCAGAGGAATCCTGCAAATAATGTTTTAAAAAATAATCGAATAAATAAATTACATTCAGAATTATTGTTTGCGTTTTTTAATAGGTTTTTCCAATATTTCAAGATAGATAAAATTACAAAATTTGGTACAGCTGATAACCTGAACGAATTCAAAGATCAAATGTCGAAATTTTTATCTTTGATTTCAAATCTGCAACATGTCTCCCCACATTGCCTTTCTGGTCAGGTCAGATTACAATGGTAAATTTGTGCATTTCGAAGAAACACAAACTTTGGCGTCGTTTGGTCCGGATCACTCGACACCCTCTTGAAGGCGTAACGAATTTAGGCTAATTTCTAAAGAAATGACCGGATCTTCGATAACTTTATTGCGACCTTCCACACTTATAATTCATTTTTAAATAGAATAAAAACACTCATCGCTGCGCAGGATAAAGGGGTTGGGGATATTACAATATGACAATGAATTATACATGGTGCGCCAGAACTCGCGCCCCAGAGAAAAATGCCGTATAAGGTAAGTTACCAGAAACATGGAAAAAATGTTAAAACAATTTTATCTAGAAAAATTTCGAAGTTATGAGGGTTTAAAATTTGCACTTTTGACTCTATTTATTTCTGTTGGAAAAATAATTGGCGCACCCTGTATAAATAAGAACAAAAACTAACAGAACATGTAAGACTTACCGTTTTTCTCTCCAATATTTCTTTTTTTGTTCTGAGTTTTTGTTTTTAAATCTCATAATTTAGAACAAAAACAAAATGCAGGACGAACGAATTTTTTTTTTGAGTTAGCTAAAACTTTCGTGTCACGAGTGTGTGCTACAGCTAGATAATTAGTCTGGAGAGGACTGGAATTCTGGAAAGTTTGTTTTTTTGTTGATTCGGCTTCGCCAATCGCGGAATTGCTGTTTCCGTTCAGTTTTCAGAATTATTCCTTAAATAATTTTTTCAGTTTTATTTTATCACAACTAAATCTTGATAAATGCCTTACAATTTACATTAATTGAGAAACTTTTTGATAAAAAAAAAAACAATTTTCTAGCAATCTCTAGAAGGAAGATACAGATACATTTATGCAATTTTAGGTTTTTTTATTTTTTATAAAAAAGTATTTTTCATAGTGAAGGCAATTCCAAATCAAAAAACGACTTCCGGATTCAAATTTACCAGAAAATTTTACATGAGAGTCAGTTTAAAAAAATCGTGTGTCCTCGAGTACAGATGAACTTTTAAATAAACGCCTTTTGTAGTGCCTGCTCCCCGACTAATAGATAGCCAATAAGAATAAACTACCGTCTCCATGAGTTTAAGGCTTCGACCATATATTAGATAGACTCGTCATCCAGCGAGTTTGTAGGCAGTTTGTTTGAAGCCAACATGTATGGACAAGAGGAGTGAGGGGCAAGAGGATGCTTACTCTTCCTTACTTCTTGTTCAGTGGCGGCTCGTAGCCAAGGGGCAGAAAATGAAAAATATTATAAGTTTCATAAATAATGTTTCTTGAAAAAACTAGTGGTATTTCGAGATTTTCAAACTACTTGACTCTTTTGGTGTGATCACTTAACAATCTACAATCATATCGCCCGAGTTACAATATAAAAAAAATATTCATTGTAATATGGGAATATTAGAATACATTACGACGCCACTGGTGGTTCACATATTATGAATGAACCAATCAGAGAAGGAGTCTCTAAGGGTCAAATTCGCGTACCATTAGTGATTTACCCTTGCCCCACCTGCACATGTTGGCTTCACAACAAATCAGAGTATGCCTAGTCTATCTAATATATGGTCGAAGGTTTAAGGGGAATCAAACGATTTCACTGCCATCTACTAGATTTTTTATTAAGTTTTTAAAAAATAAATTAATTTTAGATCGACTGCAGATCTGCGAAATTTTAAATAAGCTACTTCAAGGCCATATGCTGTACTGCGCGTGATCAAAAGTGTCTTCATGATAATGATAAAAAGTGCAATTGATCAGTGATGCCAGATTAGGAAATTTTTCCCTAGTTCTAGGGATTTGTCTAACAAAAAGGGAAAAAGGGATTTTTTTCAATTTTTCTTAATGATCTAGGGATTTTTTACATTTTCAGTGAAAATCTCAATTTTTTTCACACTGCTACCATAATTTCAAAAATTACAAAAATTTTTAATATGAATATTGTAACTTCGCCAAGTTAGCGCATTTGTATATGAGTTTAACACATAGTAACGCGGAAACCAAGAATTTATTTTCTGTAGTTACATGTGTAAAGACAAAAAAAAGAACAAGATAGGAAGTGCACTAAAAACCGTTTGCGTTTTTCGCGTTGCCAAGTTTACTAATTATTGCAGTTCATTTAATGTTTTAGACGAATATTTAAAATTAATGAAGTCCCATAATTTATAAGTATAAATAAAAATTAGTAGGTATCTAAATATACACGTTTATTTGAATTTGTTTTAATTAACATGAATTTTATTTTGTTATTTCTTTGGTAAAATTTATTTTAATTTAATGTTATATTATTTATTGATTTTTTGTTGTTTGGAGTTAACACATTTTTATGTTGTATTTATATTATATTACCTCAACAAAATAGACCTATGAAACAGTATCTTTTAATTTTTTTAAGTAGTTTAGGGAATTCTATGGAATTTGGAAGCTACAATCTAGGGACAAGCGCTTAATTTCATCTGGCATCACTGCAATTGATAAATCATATTTTGTTGTGTGTTCATATAATCGAGATAAACAGCGAAGCGTTACTAGAAGTTAAAGTGTGATAACTCGGTAAAATGGACCGTTTTAGACTGTTGTTATGGTGGTGTCTCTTTTATTTGCCACTCGATCTACAATGTACTGTTAGTGCTCAAAAAAATAATACCCCATCATTAACACAAAGTGGTAAGTTCAACTTATGTCAACAGAAGTCACGCTTTAATCCTCCCTCCTGCAATCTGTTTAATACAACTTCTTGCCCTTATTCTGGTCTGAAGTGTGATTTATCAAGGGCGTTAACTGGACCGAGATTATTAATTCAAATCAGTTTTATTTACACTAAGTTGTGCCCATTTTCTTAGTCACTCTCTTGCTCATTTTTGTCTGCCACCCTTTTAATTTCCATTTTTTGATAACTGATAAATGATAACTGATAGTATGTTGTGTTTGAATGAGGGTAAGGCTGGATTATATTGCGGATGAACACTGATTCTTGTTAATAAAAATATATATTGAAACACATGACCACCATTTTTCATGTCATCGATAGATTACCGACTGAGATCCGGTATTATAGGAAACTATACATTAAACAAGTTATTGCAATAACGGAGTTTACAATTAAACAAAGTCTCTTAATCGTGTTGGAGGACGGCGTCTTCTTTCTGTTCTGCGTGGAATTTGTGTACCTCTTGGAGTTGGTTCCTGTTGGATGTTTGGTTGATTGATGTCGGGAGTTCCAATGGGGGCTGGCATTTTGGCAAATTCTAGATAGACTTGATTGTCCACGTTTAAAGGAGTTTCTGTTTGATCTTCTTCAAATGCTACCTTCTTTGGCTTCGTTACTGTTTTTGGCACCTTTGATTCTCGTAACTGGTTGATATGTCGTTTGAGGATATATCCTGTGTCAAGCTCCACCTGATAGTGTAGTTTACCAAACTTTTTAAGGACAATACCGAACTTCCCCGTCTCTTTGTTACCCTGGTACCATCTCGCTTGGACTCGGTCTCCCACGCGTAAACTGCGAATGATATCATTTTGTGCATGAGCTCGAGTTGAGACTGGATTCGGTTTGAGGGCATCTAGTCTTATTCGAATTTGTCTTCCTAGATAAAGTTCAGCAGGTGATTTGCCATTGGCCAAAGGCGTAGCTCTGTATCTAAACACAATTTCATTGATTTTGTCCTGGATTGGCAGGTTTGAAGTAGACATTGACGTGAGCTTCCACTTAACTGTTTGGACATTTCGTTCCGCAAGGCCATTTGTGGCTGGATGTCCGGGGGCAATGAATTTCTGGACTATTCCATTTTGTTTGCAGACTTTTGAAATTCGACACTATTAAAGATTGTTGCGTTGTCCGATACAATGACTCTTGGAAAACCATGGCTGCAGAATATTTCTTTTAGAAGCTTGATTGTTGAATTCGAAGAAAGAGCATTACGTAGCACTTTGACTTCTAGCCACTTTGATTTTGCGTCTACGAGTATTAGAAAATAGTGTCCTTGGAATTCTCCTGCGTAATCGATGTGAATTCTATCGAAATTATCAACTGGTTCATCCCATGAATGGATCGGGACTTATTGAGGATTTTTCTTCACCATGGCGCATTCCGGACACGACTTGACAAGTGTTTCAATGTCTTTGTCGATGTTTTTCCATCAGCAGTAACGTCTGGCAAGTTGTTTCATTTTAACAATTCCTGGATAGGTGTGGTGCAACTGTTGTAGCACTGATTCTTGCATTGATTGTGGAATGACAACTCGCTGACCTGTGGCGGGTTATTGAGTTTATAAAACTTTTTGAACCTACATTTATTTTGGGCGAGCGGTGGCCCACCAACCAGAGCGATTAAATTTCTTTGAACGTAGGACCTCAGCCAACCCGTGAGATCAATCGTTTTCAGGAGAGTAAGGTGCAGTCAATTAAAAATGCATTTAATTATTAAATTAATGTATTTGGAATAAAATAAAAATGGTTAACACAATATAAGTGAATAATACAAAAAGGGAAAATAAATGTTAAGCGGAAACAATTGTCTAAAATAGGGGATATTCCTATTTTAGACCTTATCAAAGTCATAATACAAAACTGAAACTATTTTCTAACAACAAAGGCATTAATGTTTTAAGTGACATTATTACATTTGAACAGAAATTGCACAAACTATGGACTTTAACGAAATTAGGAAAAACAACCAAAATGTATTTATTATTTAATTTAGAAAAACATTGTAATTGCTTATCTATGCATCGTATGAAATCTCTGGTTTTCTCATGTCAACTTAACACTCTGATAAGAAACAAACGTTAAATGAAACTAATATTTTAAACCTAACTTGGGGTTTGTGAATTGTAACCAGAGACCAAATCTCTGTCGTCGACTCATGAAACTATCCATCTTTCAACACGGTTACTTTTCAAGTTCATCCCGGCCCAGACGCTTTAGTTTAGCAAAACATTACTTAAATAATTTAGAAATTTTGATAACGGCTTCGTTCGAAAATCCACAACAAAATCATAATATGGTACGGCATGGTAAGTCGGAGCAACGTGAACAGTCAAAGGAAAAATAAATCAAAACTTACTCATTTTTTATGACAAAAATCGGACTCAGAAGGTGAACTTAGCACAAAAACTGTTTTGGCTCACAAAGTAACTACTCGCGTGTTCACTCTGTTTGCAGAATGGTTACTCGAGATTCGCGTCTTCGTCTTTTTATGCTATGGCCCGACACGTCATCCCTCGATCGGATTTTTCCTTTGCAGGGGGAGAGGTCATCCTAGGTGACCCAAGTGCGAACTTTTATGAATCATACAAAGCACTTAAAATTCCACGCCGTCTGCGAAAAACTCGCCTGCTCTAATTGTGTTTACGTTATGGCCACCCGGAAGAGTCTGGGTTCTTGACCGCCTTTTCAACTACATAGGTTTGGTCTCTTTACAATATCAAAGACTTTAAGTCTTTTCAGCATTAAAAGAACAACAAGGGCTTTTTAGCCCGTCACAGACCTTTAAACAGTACGCCATCTTGAACATGGAAATCGAAGTTTTCCTGTTTGCCATTGGTTATGTTTTCAATTATTTTTGATAAAATATTATCTTTAGCAGTTTCTTCTGCAATTGATTGTTAGTGAATTTCCACAGTCGAAATTTGGTTTACTATTTGATCGTTCCAATCTGTAACTTCTTGACTTAATATCTGTTCGAATCCTGATTTTCCTCCTTGTATTACGAGTTCTTGATAGGTAGTCAACGTTTGCATGCTTTTCTGTGCTGCGATGCTCGATTTCGTAGTCGAATGAAGAGAGAAATGTAGCGTAGCGTAATAGTCGTCCTGCTGTCAAAGCTGGGAGTTTAGAATTAGGATTGAAAATTCTTGTCAAAGGCCGATTGATTCTTGTCAAAGGCCGATTGTCAGTGATGAGTTTGAACTTCTTCCCAAACAAATACATGAAGAATTTGTCTACGCTGAATATAATCCCAACGCTTCTTTGTCGAGTTGACTGTAGTTTTCTTCTGCCGGCGTCAGGGCTCTTGAAATGAAGGCAATAGGGCGTTTCACACCGTTGATTTCGTGGGACAAAACTCCTGCGATGCCTTTTGGACCTGCATCACATGCCAAGGAAACGGGCAGTTCCGGATTGTACGGAGTCAGGACTCGATCACTGCCGACTTAATTTTTCAGTCTAATGAATGCACTTTCGCATGATGCGGACCATGTCCATTTTTGGTTTGCATGTAACAAACGTCATAACGGATAAGAAATTGTTGATAAATTAGGAATAGATCGATTGTAGTAGGTGACCATTCCGAGGAACTGTCTAAGCTCTTTTTCGTTTTTGAGCGCAGCAGAGTTTCGGATTTCTTCAGTTTTTCTAGGATCTTTTTTGAGTGAATTCAGGGCCGTACCCAAGGGGGGGATTAGGGGGTTCAATTTTTTTCTAAAATGATTTCGGAAATATTGAAAAAAAACCTATTGAAAGACGCACCCCTTGCGTAGCATTTTTCGATATATGTTCATAGAAAACTTTTGTTTTAAAAATGAATATTCTATCTCCTATTTAAATTTGTAACAATATAAAGCATTAAAAATTTGTTTTATTTTTTGTTACTTTTGTGAGTTAATTTATATTTTTTTTGTGTTTAATTAGGATCTCTTATTTTAATTTAAAATAAAAACGTATACTTAGATATTTTTGATTTTTAATCCGCCTTCTTTCATTTCATTTTCATGGACCAACAAGAAACCCCCCCCGAAATAAAATCCTGGTTACGGCCCTGAGTGAATTATTACTAATAATAAAGCTAAGGTACGAGATTTCCTCTTGTGTGCATCTTCATTTAGATGTAAATTGTACTTTTGTACAATTACATTGACGACATTGTTCTTTAGTTGATCCGTGTATTGTAATATCATCGAAATAGGACGAAATGCCTTCCAGTCCGGATAAAATTTGATCGAGAATCCGGTTGAATTCGCTTGGTGCTGTTTTTATACCAAATGATAGCCGATTACCGCGGATGTCTATAATTTTGGCAATGCCGCCGTAAAAATTTAGTGCTCCGGATTCAAGGTGATGAACATCGTCTTTTTTTGATGGCAAAGGAGTTTTTAGACAAACTTTTGCAATATGTCCCCTCTTTTTACATTTATTGCACGTAAGTGTGTTTTGATCAATTCGACATTCTTTATATATATGGTTGTTGCGTCCGCAAACAATTATTTTCGATTCCTAATTCTTTATAATTTAAATTTGATTTTGAGCGATTTCGCGATTGCGACCTTAGACGTGTGTTTGAGTTTGATTTATATTCAGTTTTGTTTTTAGTCGAATTTCGAATGATTTTATTTATTTGGTTATGAGTTGACGGTTTATTATGATTAAATTCTTTATTTTGTTCGCGAGAAGCTTCAAGTACGATTGCGTCATCGATTGCTTTAATTTTAAGGATTTGTTCTTGGGTATGATTATCACACAATCCACGGATAAACTGAGCTCGTAATAACACGTTTTCAAAATTCTTACAACAATCGCAGTTATGTGTACAATTCAAAGCAAATTTACAGTCTAAAATTTTATATCTTAGTGCATTTACGAATTCTGCGATAGATTGGCCTTCTTGGTGAATGCAATTAAAGAAACGGTGCTGTTCCACAACGACATTTGCTTTTGGACAGAGGTGATTTTCCATTTTTTCCATGAGGACGTCATAAGCTGTTGCTTCTGGTGCGCCGAGGGCTGCTACCGAGCACAAAAGCTTGTATCCCACTGCGCCAATCGAATTAATTAGTAGAGATCGAGCCATATCTTGTTGTTTTCCAGGTTTTTCATTTTAAGGTAGTTGTCGAAGCGGTGTCGATACTGACGAAATGTTTCTTTTGCTGGGACGAAATTTTCGAAGTTGGGAGCGATGAAAATGCCTGATTGCTCTGGGGGGCACGCTGTCCTGATGCTTGTTGCTGCATAAAGGCTTGCTGTGACTGTTGAATCCCGTTTAAGACGTTTAAAAACGTAGCAAATTGTTCTTCATCCATTACGGCTTCTTGTTCCACGTGTTCGAGACGTTTGAATTTTTCGATTTTCTCGTTTCGAGTTTTGACTTCAAATTTCAATGTTTGATGGTACGTTTTTCACCTCGTCGCCACTTTGTTGTGTTTGAATGACGGTAAGGCTGGATTATATTGCGGATGAACACTGATTCTTGTTACTATTTACAAAATTACTTTCGCATGAATCATCGATAATTCTGATTAGGGGATCAGTTCCTGGAGAAATAATTCTGAAATTTTTTTTGGACACGAATAATTGAGTAAACATTTTTATCAATGAATTAACGTAAGAATTGTTGTAAAAGTTGTAAGCATTGTGGTTTCAGTTCAGCCATTATAATTACGTGAGGGTCCAATCACTTAGAACTTTTAATGCAGTTGGTGATTGGCTCGTTTCAAGTCGGCCATTATAATAATGAGAGGAACCAATCACGTTAAACTTTAGATTAATTAAAAAATGCAATTGATTAATTTAGATTTGCATTTTGATTACTTTCATTTAAATTTTGAATGAAAATTATAAAATTAACGATTTGGAAGGAAAATTGGCAATTGTTAATTATTTAAATGGGTTTTGAGCGCCTACTCTTTTTATGGTACAACATATTTGTTAAAATGGTGAGGCGTCTTTTTTGTTCACTTGAACGTTGTCAATGATTGCAATGTGCTTGATTGAATATAAAATACCTAGCAAATTACTGAGATATAAACATTTTAAATATGCTTTGTTTCTCATTATGAAGTCACTTGAGATGCATTTTCTCAAGTAAAGTATTAAATGTGTGCAAAAATTTATTTTACAAAATGTATTCGCTCCAAATCACACATTTCGGTGAACACGAAATCACCCAAAATTTTGACTATAAATTGTGTAAGACAAGGTTTTCCACCGTAATTTTTATTTTTTTTTTCTCACTTTTCTTTAGGGAATGGCAATATTATCCCTGATACTTACATCGTTTTCTAATCTCGAGTAATTTACTAAATACGTTTTTATAAACAGACCTCGAGAGTTTTTCTGAGAAAACCCATAAAACTTGGAATATTTACGAGGGTCAAGTCAAGCCACCCCCGAGTGGTCGATGATCGAAACCAGATGTCTTTAAGACTGTGAGAACCAATTCTCTAAAAATCGTCGAGTTAGAATTAGTTTTAACCCACACTTCATCGGGG